TAAAGTCAAATGCATAATTTAAAATATACTTTCTTCAAAAAAAAAAAAAATCATATCAGTCAATCATTTCAAAAGGGAAATCAATTTAGGGTTAAATGAAAAATTTATTCCTAAACTATAAGTCTAAAAGCGTTTAAGATCTTAAACTTATTTTTGATAAAATGTTTCTTTCTAACTTTTGAAAAATGTACAATATTGTTTTTACTATTATTTTTTTGGCCAGTTACTATTATAAAATGTTAACTTGATCAATGATTCAAAAATTATAGAAAGTGATGAAGAAATTTTTCTTGGTCACATTTTCTATAATTTTTTGGTCTTTTTGTTAATGGTAGAGAATATATTATACTGTTTTTAAAAGTTAAAAGAGAATATTATATAAAATAGAGTTTAGGATCCTTGACATTAGTGGATCTATAATTTAAGGGTAAAATTTTTAAGAAAAATTATATATAAGTCTTGTAGAAATGACTTATATACAAATAAATCTTGTAAAATTTAAAAACTATTTTTAGGTCTCTTGGGACCTTAATGTAGAGACCTTAGTGTAACTTGAAATTTGGGTAAAAATAAAATAATGTCCCTATTAAATATATATAAATTATATTAGTTAAATAATTTACAATTACTTAGTAATTTACAGCTATAATTTTAATTTTTTATAACTGAAACTTGATATATTAATTATTAAATATGTGAAACTACAGTTATAAAAAGTTAAATTTATAATTATAAACTATTAATAAAGTTGTTGTAAACAATTAAAATTAAACTTTGTTAATAATGTATGGTTGTTTAATTATTAGATATTTGAAATTATAATTATAAAAATTTAAAATTATAATTATAAATTGCTAACAAAATAGTTATAAATTAATTATTTAATTAATATAATATATGTTTAATAGAGTTATTATTATCTTCACAATTTAATTTTAAATTACATTCAGGTCTCAAATGGCCTGACTATAATTTTTGAATTTTATGAGATATATTTAAAACTTATATGTAATTTTTCCACATTTTCATTTAACTCATTAATGTACGCTTAACCTGGCCATGAAACTCATCTCTTTTACGCAACTACGGTTATTGATCCGACAGTCTTAATTTTATGTTGTGGCAAGAAATTCATTCAACGCTCTTTTAACTCCGACACCATTAAGTACTCTCATAGTACTTGATCAATTTACAATTTAACATTAATATTCTCAGTACAATAATGTCATTCTTTATGTTCTAATGTTAGGAGGGAATTATTGACAAAATTAATTAAGGTGCTTAAAATAAACCTGCTAGCTAATCTGCTTTAATATATGAAGGGAGCAAATCTTCTGAAATTGAGATTCATAAATTTTATAAATTTTTTTATATTTTCCTTATTTTATTATTTTTTATAAGGTATAAAATCTTCTATATCTTTCTTAAAAGGTAAATTAAAAAAAAAATTCATATTCTCAACTTTAGTGGATCTATTTCCTAATCTTAAATATTATTAAAAAATGCATTAAGATATAGGAGTTATTAATTAATGCCACGATTAACATATACGGGCAAACTAATTGAGCTTGAAAATATCAAAATGTAATAAGGTATTCCATAAGTCATCAAATACTACTACTTTCTTATTTATAAGATACTTTGATATATTCTAGCCAAAAAAAAGATACTTTGATATAACTTTTAAATCGATCACAACTCAAATTTCTGGGTAGTGACTAGTGGTTGAGCCAGAATCTTAGATTGGAGGGGAGTGATGAAGCCAAGATCTTTAATACAAGGAAAACTTTTTAGTCTTTTCTGAATTCACTATTTCTCTTTCTTTCTCTTTATTTGTTAGTTCAACTTTTAATTGAAGACTTATAAATGCAGTGAGTCGGCAAAAAATATTCAGTAAGTTTACTTTTGAGTCTTGAGTTTTCATTCTTCATTATCTTTTTTTTTTCTAACTAGTCCTTGACTAGTATGGGTTTGATTTTAGTGAAATTAAGTCCTTGACTAGTATGGGTTTGATTTTAGTGAAATTAAGTTTTTTTTATTATTTAAAGGATTAATAACTAATATTGGTATTTAGGTATAGTGAAATTATGAGATAATATTTAATAGGCTTTGAGTTAAAAAATTGAATAGATCTAGACTAAAAATAAGATTGAAATGGGTTTAAAATTTAAAATATTAAAATAAAGGAGTGCAAAATATAAGAAAGAAAGGGTGCAAATTGCAAAATATAACAATACATGGCCGTATACATGTCATTTTTCCTATAAGCCTCCCATCAAATGCAAGTTGCTTCGCCACTGGTAGTGACAAATTAATATTAGAGTCAGGTCAGATCTGGGCCATAGTAATTATATAATAAGAAAGCAGCAGAATCTTATTTGTAACTGTGTCCCTAGCCAGATTACATTCAAGAAGCTTCTACCATCTAATCCACGTCACGAAATCTAATGTTGTAGTTCATGTTAGATAATTAGGCATGCATGGTTTTTTAGTTCTAATTCTAAATGTGGAAGTGAGAATATATATAAAAAAAAAAGAAAGTGTCATAAAATTATAGGATGTTGAGTGTTATTTATAATTAGATCAATTTATCTTGAAATGAGTCAATCTAGAGCCTTGCCTTGTTGCGATTGATTATGTGATAGCAAAACTTGATTCCAAAAGAAAAACTTTCCTATTTCCTCTTTATAAGATAACTTTTAGAATGTTTTGATATTCCTATTCATAAGATAATTTACAAAATCTAAGCAATAATCAATATTTTTCAAAAATACCCATTAAAAATAGCGCTTTTAATTTTAATTAATTAAGAAAGAGAGTTTGAGAAAGAAAAGAGCATTTAAGGGAGAGTATTTATGTAGTACTTACCCACGGCACGTACATACATACACCAAAATTCCATACATAAGATGTGATAACTTTTAAAATTTTAATATGAGGGGAAAAATTACCTAACAAGAATTAAGAAAAATTAGTTTTAGTTATTTAAACTTAACTTATTTTTCACACGTTTAGAGTTTATTCCAAAAATGACCCTCCTTAAATAGTGGTATAATGTATATACATGGTTTAATTATCCTTATGATGCATTATGTAATTTATCTCTTTAACATGTCATTAGAAGTTAGTTAATATTAAATTTGGTTTTAAAAAAAGTGAAAGCGCTATTAATCATTTTTGTCCCCTACATTTTGGACCACCACAAGCTTAATTTTTTTTTTTAATAAAAAATTAAAGGAAATAGTATGTAAATTAATGTTTTTAGAAACGAATCAATATTGAATTAGAAAGGTCAGCGATTCATAGTTTTTATAGTTCAATCAATTTAGATTAATGGTCAAACTGATGACGTAATAATTGAATTAAAAAATTATATATGTATATACTAATCTATATAAATATTAAATTGCTATTTAATTTAAAAATAAAACTAAATATTTTAAGTTTATCATGACTTAACAAGCCACATGAAATAATATAACATCAAATAATTAAAAAAATTGGTCATTTTATAAAAAATTTGATAAAAAATTTAAGAGAGTTCAATTTTTGAAAACTGAATTCGATTCCCGATTTGATCTCGATTTTTAGTTCGAATGCTTATGAAAAACGATCTAACTTAGCTCAACCCTTACAATTATTTTTATATGCTGACTGAACTAAAATCTTGCCCAATCAATGGTTGGATCAGTCTGATCATTTGATTTGGTTCAATTTTTTTTTGATTGGTAGGTCACGAAAGACTGTGTTAACTAACTTGTTGAGTCATGTCAGCGTATAAAAAGTTAATATAACTTAGGAATATAATGTTAAAAATAAGTATATTAAAATTATCGCCAGAGGCTTCATATCGATGAAAACATTTGCACACGTTCTAGGTGTATGCGCATTCACCCACCCCAGACACATACTCACTTCATATACACGCACCATGGCGTGCGCGTGTGAGTGGTATAAATTAACTTGAGATCTACTACATGCCAGATTACTGCCTTACTTATTTGATACTACAAAAGTTAGACTAAAACTTATAACAAGACATGCGTTTAGGATATAATTTATAAGTCTGTTAGGTTAGTTCATTTATTATTTATTACTGTTTGCATATATCATATCATGTTATATTGTTTCAAATTATTCACAAATGATTAATGTCTACAAATTAGAATATTATATCCCTTCTCATTTAGAGCCAAAAATAAATGATTCTTTAGATATTGAAGTAGGATATTTAATGGAAACAAATATTCTTCGAGTAACATCAATATAAATTAGAGAAATAGAAGAAAAAAAAGTATAATCAAGCTGCAAGGTTTAACCATTGTGGAATGCTCGTGTTCGTTTGAACACATGATCACAAAACAGTATGTGTACTTTATAGTATCAAGTATCCAATATGAATATGTCTATTTTTTTTAAAAAAATAATGATGCATTTTGAGCTATAATTATAAATATCATATTAATAAATTCATATTGTTGATCTAACATTAATAAATTCAATACAAACTGCTTCTAAAATCCTTTCTTGGATGTAGAAGATTGCAAGTACAAACTTATGAACATGCATAAGTTTAGCTGTAGGATGTGTGTTTAACTGTCCTTAATAAAAAAAAATCTTTATTTTATGTTTATATTTTTATTGGGATGAAAATATCTTACTTTAACAAGGTATTTTAATTTAGATAGGTCATTGAATTAATTAAAATACTAATTTAACAGTTAATAATTAAATTAAAATTGTAGTTAAACACCGGTTGTGAACAAAACATTTTATTGAATTTACTATAGACTGGTTTATCAGTTTATTAATTTAACTGGTTGGATTGATCCAAATTTCAATTTCAATGTTACATTATTTTTACATATGCATGTGAATTTTATTTAGTTGCACATAGTCACTAAATATTACTGAAATAAAGTACTGCGGCAAATAATGTTTTACTTTTCCCATTTTGACCTCTACATAACAGTGCGTGAGGGGAGAGCGTCAAAAGCCAACTCAATAAGCATAGATATCGAGCTTGACTGCACCCTCGCTCGACGGACACAGTAGAGATGGAGCAGGAGCACGAAGAGCATGAAGTGTACGGAGGCGATATTCCCGACGAGGCGGAGATGGACGCAGATTTCAGAGTTGAAGAAGAAGAAGAACAGGAAGGACACCAACATGACCCCAATAACTCTAATAAGGTTCTCCGATTTGTGTCTCTCTGCGCTATTTCCTCTCTCTCTGTTTGTCTCCCTCTCACTCTTCCCTCTTTTCTATGGCAGGACTTGGAGGACATGAAGAAGAGGCTCAAGGAGATTGAGGAAGAAGCTAGTGCCCTTCGTGAAATGCAGGCTAAGGTTGAGAAAGAGATGGGTGCTGTTCAAGGTTTCTTTTTTCCCCTCTCTTGCATATTTGTATTTTGAACCCATAATAAACCCAAAACCATGTGGATTAGTTTTTATTTTTGCTTAACCCCTTGTGAAAATTGATATATTATTTGTATATTGTCTTTGTCATATGGTGCTAGGGGACTTTCAGTTGATCCTTATCTTTAGGATATTCAAGATTTAGATCTGTTGAGCTGGGATTACTGGGGTTATTTGGATTTCTCAAGTATATGATTATATCATCATCTGTTTTCTTTCAGTCTTTTATAATAGCAGTCGTTGGTCTGTTCATTTTAAGTTTTAACCCGAGACGCGTGATTCCTCAATATCAGTACCTACTCTACCCTTGCATTGGTTAAGTGTAGTCGGTAGTCTGCTCATTTAATTGGTCAATTCCTATGAAATATTACCCTCTGCATATTGGGGCAAGGACCATTCAATTGACTCCTGTATATTCAATTTAACTTTGGCATGGGGAAGATTCCTCATTTTCTTCTGGGACTGAGATCTGGTTATTTGAGTATAGTAGAGTTGGTGAGTTCTGTTTATTTAGGGTTTGGTTGGTCCTTGTGATGAATATTAATTATAATATATCTTGTAGGCATTTATATAGTATATGAAAAATAGCTACATAATATGGGGAATTGGGGATATGATAATTTCTCTGAATTTAAGAATACAAATTTGTAGAGTCATGGTCACGCAAATGTCTATAACAATATATTATTGTTAGTGCAATAGTATTAAAAGTGTATAGTAGGCATTAGTTTCTAGTAGATCCTTGCGTACAAAATGATGAAATAATTATACATCGTTTTGTCCTATCTACTCATGCTGATCAAGTTATAATATACTGTAGATTTAATTACGGTGTCAATCTTGTATGTAAACAGGTTGTTATTCTCCCTGAATCAGGTTGTTTTCTGTTTGTATGTTAATAAAGTTTGATAGCCTGAGAGATGGGATACAAAAGATCTGTGCTTCCAATCTCTCATTCATTTGACCTCTATTTCTTGGTCCAAGTGGAAGAATGAACATGGTTATGTCATTAAAATAATAGGAAAGTAGTGGCTGGCTGTGATGCCAGTGCATATCCAAGATGCTTTCCTGCATTGACATGATGTGAAAGTAGAAAGAAACCATCCCTTGTGTATGTAACTTGTGTGCATTGTTTGTTTGCATGTGTGAAATTTGTCTGTGTATATCAGTTTGCTTAATTGCTTGTATTTATGAGAATCAAATGTGAACAATTAATTATCCTGCTAGCTTCCAAAATATTGTTTTTCTGATTCTTTTTATTCTTTATCTTCTCTGATTGTGTATAAGCAGCCAAAGACATAACTTATTTCAATACTTAGACATTGTTTTAATTAATTGTTAAATTAAATTTCAGAAATTTGATTATGAATGCTTTCATTGTGGTAGGGATGGTTTTTGTCTTGTACCTTATTAAGGTTAACATCTTATCTTATAAAATTAGGGTCATAAGTCATAAGTCATAAGAAATGGGAAACTCAGGAAGCGAAAGCTTAGTTTGTTAGTATTGAAGACAAAGAGGGAGGCTTTTGGATTGCATGCTGATCTCTAAATAGCAGCAGGCCGTGTTCCTCTCTTTATTGGACCTGTCTAAGGCATCCAAAAAGTCTCCTATACCTGCTAGATCTAGCAAAATGAAACCCATGGCTTGATTCTTTTGGCCTATTTTTTCCCTTTTGAAAGATGGATTTGCTCAACAGATTTTTCATCGAGAACCTTATTGTCATGGCTCCATTTCCCTTCAACCTCTCCTTGTACCAATTGATATAAATCTCCTAGCCTTAGCAAGAGATAGACTAAATAAGTTCATGCTAACTCCACCTTTTGAGTGTAGCCTCTGAGATGCAAAAGAAAATGATGGAAAGCCATAAGGATTAGCTCCTTCCAGTGCATAAGTCAAGTCCTAGGACTGGCGAAGTCTTACTAGACTACAAGCTTTGGGTTTTGGGCATAATCCTTTAAGAGAAATTTTGGAAAGTATTGATGGCAAGCTTTCCTTTTCTATGGCACCCCCATATCGTATACTTAATCCAGCAAATTAGAAAATTACCCACCCACATAAAAAAAATTTTTATAATCAAGGAGTTGTCCGAAAACCAAATTTGTCTAAAACAGTCCGATCAATTAGGGAAAAAAATAATCAAGATTAGTAGAGAAAAAGGAAAGGGGGAAAAATGGAATGGTTCGCATATACTTTGTTTGAAGACCATGATTACTAGAGGAGGAATCATGAGCATGTGAGGAATAGAAGGCATTAGAGAAATCGGCAAGTGACAAATGCAAAGATCCCAGCATCGAAGCAATGGTTTGTTTCTTTAATGAAAATTATAGCAAAAGTGGAGAATTGAGTTTTGAAGTGGTGGCTCAAGAGACAATGAACATGTAAAGTTGTGACCTAGGTGTATCTGGTAAGACCGGAAGAGGTGCTTGTGGAAAAACCATTGTGCAGATGAGCCCATTTTGAGAAGGGGGAACAATGGTCATACTTTCTAGTCACATGGTAGAAGAGTTTTTGGATAGATTTGATAAAGAGAGGATCTTGGCTTGCTGCTCTTGGGAGATCAAGAAGGAATCCAAACATAGGGAGAGAGTACATGCGGTACAAACAAAGGCTTAAGCACATTGTACTAGTTGTGATTGCGCACTTTTTAAATAGTGGAAGGCTAGCTTTGACTTGTGATTGAGTTCGAAAGATGTTAAATTAGTGAAATTCTAAAATTCAAAAGCACTTGATTCTCAATTTTTTGCAACCACCACCCAAAACCAGCTGATGCGGGTGGTACCTGATTGCTGAATGCATTACTTAAACTACTGCACACGCACGTGTGCTTACTCATTCTCATTGATGTTTGGAGAGGATGAGGCCTAGCTATGCTGCAGACGCTTCTGCACTTGGTTCTCTGTTTATTTATGGTTAATATGATTCCAAATTTTGTAATACATCAATTGAGGAGTCCATTTCCTTTAATCAGTTTGAATAATACTACTTTCTGTGTTATATGGGCCTAGCACGTAATTTTATTTTCTTTGGAGTAGTATTATGAGATTTCTATTTTGTGTTTAAATATGGCTTAAAGTGTTGGCTGAAATAAATATGCAGCATTCTTGAAGAAAATAAGAAAAAGAGATTTTGATTCTGTAACTCTTCAGAATGAAAGAATCTATATTCTTCTTTCAAATTAGCAATTATTGGTGGCAAACGATTGATTGATGTGCTCTTGTTCCTATCTGAAGTCTTCAAATCTTACTTTGTGCTTGGCAAAGAACTATAAAGAGCAGATCCATCTTGATGGAAAAGTGGTCTAGGAGCACGCCCTGGCCCCAATCCATATGACCTAGAGCTCTTCTGTGGTAAGCAGATCAAGTAGCCTAGAAGGGCCAAGTAAGAATTTGACGCTTCCCCCACATGCAGAAAGAGGACAAATGAACGGTTAACATGCATAGAAGATCCATGAAAACAACTTTGCCAGTGCATAAATGGCAAAGATAAACAACATAATTTCGAAATAAAGGCTAGTTAATTAAAAATCGAAATGATTTGCCCTTTTTTGTTTGTTTGTTTTTCCAAAACACATGCTTCACATAAAACATGTGCTTAATTAGGCCATAAATGAGAAGATCAGATTTGAATTCCAAGTCATGGATTAGGAAACTGTAGTTGAATTTCAACAATTCCCCTCAACCTGAAACATCTTGAAGTTAACATGCCTAATCTTCTTCCTTGGTCTATTTTTTTTTTAATTGTTCACTTATTTTTTGTCTTCTTCATTAGTCCTCACTTCAGAGTCTCTCTCTCTCTTTTTTTTCCATCACCACCTCACCTTATAGTGATGATTTGGTTTTTGGTATCCTCACCTCACTTCTTATGAGGCAGAGATCTTGGTTTTCTTACATTAACCATGAATATAGGATTTACCATCATATGTTTTCTCACACGAATTTGCTTAGTGCCAAAACATGGCTTTCTTACATCAACCACCAATGTAAAGTTTTCTCATGCTGTCCACCAACGAAATGAGAAGATCTGATTACAGATATGTTCTTTTTTAAAAAGATTAAAATGCATGCTTCACATCAAGCATGCACTGATTTGGTCAGATTCGAATTTCAAGTCTTAAACAAGGAGGTTTGAGTCAAATTTGAATAATTGGCCATCTAATGAGTCCATCCATGTATATTTTTGCTCTTCATGAAATAATCAAACACTCCTGAGCCTTCTAGCTTTATATCATTATAGTTTAGTGAAATAAACTCCCCTGCACATCGTTAATGACTGCAGAAGTTCAACTGACTTTTGATTTTCAACATCATCTCAATTACCTTTAATGCTTGGATTCCAGTTGTATGACTAAATTGTTTCTCTATTTTTGAACAAATCTGGTTGCTAGTTGTTAAATTTAATTTATTTATTGGTAGCATTTAAAGATAACATTTTTCCTTTCTGGTAAATGATGATTTTATTTGATTTTGAATTGAAGATTCGACTGGTTCTTCTGCGAGTCAAGCTGAGAAGGAGGAAGTGGATTCCCGGTCAATCTATGTTGGTAATGTGAGGCTTGGAACTCCATTTTGCTGCCTACTGCCTATTTCAATTTCCTTCCTTCTATATGGCATTGCTGTATCTTTATTCTCTTTGCTTGACATCTGTACTGGGGTATGCTTAGTGCAAAAGTAGATAAATTTGATCAATACATACCTAACCCTAACTTTTGTCAGGTGTATTACTGTCAGTAGGTCATAGTTTCCAGCAATGAAGATTTAATGCAGTAGTTTTGTGCTAGGTTGTTGATTAGATCACAGTGTTTTGTTAAGTTTTGTGAAATCCAAGGGAATCATTAGAGATGTAAAAGGCTGATCTGGAATTTGTGGCCAGTTGTTCAGTTCTCTGGGATGGTACCAGAACTTCATTGTCCTGGTTGAGGACTTGAAATCCCAAAACTTTTGGTTAATGGAAGGACAATTGTTGCTTCAATTAGATGGTTTGTTATGAAAACATATTCAGAAATTAATAAGTTCTTGTCTAACTGGTTACAAAAATGAGAACTAATGTGTGACAAGGCCTATGTAGGAGACAGTCACTAGAACCCTATTTAGAAGAAACCATGTAGGAAGTCTTGTGGACACCATTTGAAAATTTAAATACATAGAAACAGATATTTTGGATCAGTGTATTAGGCCTAAGTGCTTACCACTAAGGAAACTATATCATGGTTTGGATCCATCTCATTCCCATAATACAACTATAGAAGGCCGACATCATGGTTCAAATAGGAGAAGAGTTTGAGTCTCGATCCTCTAGAGGATGCATTCAAAGGGAGATAGAGAGAAAATACGGAGTGCAATTATGAGTTGTGAACATTATGCACAACTACATTCTCTTGTGCATTTTCTCTCCAAGTATATTATGCATGAATGGAGAAGATCCAAATGAGAAATATTTATGGGTTGTCTGGTGATTGGTCTAAAATAATCCATTTAAAGATAAGATGTCCTTGAAAGGTTGTGTTTTCCCCTGCTCATATCTTACTTTCTTCCAGCTAGAGTGAGGCCATAATGTAATTATTGCACCATGCAATGCCCAATAGGTGGTTTGTTGACTTTTGGCTGAATCTTCATTTGACCACAAGAAATTAAGTGGGACCAGAAGTGAAATTCTATGGTCAATAACTTGCCATCATGGCGTCATGCCATATTAGCTATATAATGTACATAGATGATTCATCTATGCTTCAAATTGGTGACTTTAGAAGCTAAGGTTGAGAGATATTAAAGTTTAGTGGCTACCAATCTTATGGAGAGCTTATATTTACAACCTAATAATCTCGCATGGCAAATTGGGGATTTGTTACAAGCTAGTCCTTTCTTTATAATGTTTTGTTGATTCTCTTGCTTCTTGGATCAGGACCCCATGTATGGATTAGACAACCTGATAAGGATACGATGATGGAAAATTAAAAACCTACACAAGGGAAGAGAGGGTTAATAACTTAATATTGATGTGGGAGTAGAAGTGGAATTGTGCTAGTTCAGGATGGAATCTAAAACACAAACAAGAAAACAAAACAAAAACAAGGAAAAGAACAAGATAAATGATCAAGGTCGCAATGTTAATCTTAAAGACACCACACGAGTCAATCAAGCTTTTAATCATATCTATATTTACCCCAGGATACCCATAAGCAAGCATAGCTTGCAATAACAAGAGTTATAGACTCTAAAGAAAATAATCAAATTCTTATCCAACTTAGTATGATGAATACATATGAATGGAGCCTATTTATAGGAAATAATAGAAGACATAAATTGAAAACCTAGTTCCTAGAACCTTCTTAGAAGTGTGGCACCCCATCTATTGTAATTTAGGGAAGTTTCCTAAATGATGAAAATTCAGCAATTGACGGTAATTAGAAGACCTTCTAGAATATTTCCTGCACCCTAAACTTAGACTTTAAGCAAGATCACCCTAATAAATGCTAGGAAATCAAAATGGATTTAACACATGCTGAAAATACAAAATAGCAAACTAAAAATAGTCCTGCAAGATGCATGTATAAATGAAAATAGGAAACTAAATAAAACTAAGCCAAATCTTAATTAAATGAGATAAATCACGCCATTAATGCTTCTATGGAAGGGTCTTGGGCGTGCTCTGTCATCCTACACCACATTTATCACATTGTGATTTGGAAATCTTCATGGATTGGATGCATGGGCCTTGAAACTTAATGGCTTGGGTTTGCAATTCGTCCTCGTCATGAATTGGACTTGAATCATGTTGAACACCGCAATTAGACCCCTATTGGACATGGATTTGGATGCCTCTTCAAGGTGTATATGGGCTCCTTCATGGCTTTGATGTGGGCTTTTGTCTCTGAGCCTCCAATGTGTTGTAATGGGTCCTTGGGATCATGAGACTTGAAGTCTTGGACCTTGGGCATGCCACCTTCATTGGTTTGGGCTTCAACTTGGATCACACTTTCAATGATCATGCCTTCAACTTGGACTTCATCTTTACTCCTTAGGCCATGCTTCTTATGATTTAGTTCTATCACTTGAGTTGGCTTCTCTGAAGTTCTCCATTGGCCTTCTAAATTTGCATCAAACATTTAATTTAGTTTATTTTTAATTTGTTTGATTATCTTTATTTTAAAATGTTTGATTTAGCGTATTTTAAATTAGGATTTATCTTTCATCTATATTTATCTTATCTCTAGGATGAGGTTATTTTATCATTATATTATCTCGAATTGGGCTCTAGAAATAGTCCTAAGGTTTTTCACTTGTAGATTTTGTCTATTGAGTAAAATTAAGAGTTTGTCATCTATATCTCCGTCCTTTTTCTCTATTTCTCCCTTTTTCCTCTCTTGTTCTACCTTGTCCAACAGCTCATGCTCTGTGCCTAATGGAATGTCTATAATATCAATGAAATGTTATGATATATTAAAATGGGTTTCAAATCATAACTCAGGTTGACTATGGATGTACGCCTGAAGAAGTCCAGCAACATTTTCAGTCTTGTGGAACAGTGAACAGAGTGACGATATTGACAGACAAATTTGGTCAACCAAAAGGATTTGCATATGTTGAGTTTGTTGAGGTTGATGCCGTTCAGAATGCTCTCTTGTTGAATGAATCAGAGTTGCATGGCCGTCAATTGAAGGTCTTTTTCAGTTAATCTGCTGAAATGTAATCAATCACTTGCTCTTTTTTCTGTTTGATTGTACCTGACTTCTTATTTACTTTCCAGGTCTCTGCTAAGCGTACAAACGTTCCTGGAATGAAACAGTATCGTGGAAGAAGACCTATGGGCTTTCGACCTAGAATGCCTTACATGCCTTCTCCGTTCTATCCTCCATATGGTTATGGGTAAATAATGCATTAAACTTACTCCTTCTGCTTCTCGTTACCAGAAACTAAGGAAACCTAACTTTAAAATTTTCAATTAAAATATGACCCTTATTTTCTTGGGTGGTTTCATTTTATTCTGGGATTTGTTGTCTAAATTCTGATGTCAAATGTTGCTTTATGTGATGAATAGATTGTATATATTATATACATCTTTTCCCTCTCAATTATTTGCCTCTATGGAACTATAATAATGACTGCCAACTTATCAGAAAAATTTCCCAAACGTTTATTATTTTGTTTATTGAAAATCAAAATTGATCTCCGGAACAGTATCTGAACAGGCCCTTGGTTCCAATTGCTATAATTGTCTTCCAGTGTTTGGTCTGATAGACTATTGAACATTTATCCTCTCTGCCTCTCCTCAATCCTTATGTTGTTTCATGTGATGATTGAAACATTTTTCCGTGCAGGAGAGTTCCAAGGTATAGGCGTCCAACGCGTTACAGGCCATACTAGGGCCCAGTCCCAATTTAACAGGTGCCCATATTTAGGAGACTTTCCTTGTTGAAAGAGACTTGAATCTTCATTTGAATGCCAGAAGGCAGAAGTTATGTCATACCCTTTTTCCTCTCTGAATGAATGATATGGTCTCTATAGATAGAGGTTGACAGCATCTTTACTAAATTTATATGTTCTTGGCATTTCAGTTATAAATGAATGATGGACATTGGACGCCCGTTTCTGACAATAATTCAGTAGGTTCTTCAGAAATTCAAAATTATATTACTTGCTTCAGTGTCAGAGTGTTGGCATTGAATCACTGGTTTCATTAGCATAGCAACTTTTAAGTGCTAGCTTGTGGATTATTACCTCCGAGCCTATTTATAACTATAAAAGCTGTTCCTTATGAGTAGGTATCTATTAGTTAGTGATGATTAGAAGTCTTGGCTGGAAGCCCAGACTTGAGTGTTTTGCTATTCTGTGTGATGGTCAGCCGATCAGGACGAATAATATTTCTAAGGTTCAGGACAAGAATCCCCACAACGTTCAGTTTGGTCGAGGACATCAAAGCTCTTTTGCGTGAGTGGGAAATTAACTTGTGAACATTCATTTAGGGAAGCAGGGACTTGTGCTAATTGGCTTGTATGGCACGCTCATCATGAAGATACAAAGACGATAGTTATGACTCAGGTGATCCTTACGATATATTTGCCAATAGAATGCATTGACCATATTGTTTCAACAGTCGGATTAGACCCAATGGTTGGACTATCAATTGAAGTTGTTAACGGTTTAGTTTGTACAAAAAATCTGTTTTCGTAGTTGAGTCAAGTTGATCTGGGGCTGAGCTACCATTGAGTTGAAAATCGAAACATTTTGAGAAACTAAATGAATTTAAATCTAATATAAAAAAGGCTAATTTTTTTTAAATAATAGAAATTCAAAAATTAAATCATATTAAATATTAATTTAATTTTTGAACTCTTCACTTGTATATAATATAATTTGAAATTATTTTTTTAGAAAGATATTGACAATTAGGTGCAAATATAAATACTTTTAAATCTACTTGTTAATTGATTTAACCAATATTCATTTATATTTAATGAGTAATAAAATTGTAATTTATAACATTGTTGCCTTATGATAGAAGTTTGTAATTCGGAAAAGAGGAGAGAAAGAAAGAATGAAGAGGACAAAGGAGTGAGAGATTCAATGGGGAAGAGGTGAGAGAAGTAGAGACCAAGGGATTCTGAATGATTCTCATCAAGGCAGTCCATTTATTCAAAATTTCAAATACAAGAATACCCCTCAAAGAGGCCCTTGCACTCAAGGGTCATTTACAACCAAATTTGGAAATTTTTGTAAGGAATTATATAGTGACATCCATTATGCTTCTTCATCTAGCAAATTCTTCCATTGCACCAAAATTTCAGTAATGATTCTTCCTCTTTTTCTTCTAATCCTCTTGTTTAGATTTTTTTTTTTTGTTTTCTGGTTCTAAAGTTGGTGGTAATTTAGGCTAATCAATAGGAAGATGCCTTTATTTGACCTTAGGATTTGGACAAAGCTTCAAAAGAGAGACATGATATGTAGGATGAATTCTTGATTTAGTGGTAGCTCCAATCTATAAGCAACGGCCTCAATTTTCTCCAAAATCTTGTAGTTGTAGAAATTTGCCTATAAGGCTACAATTTGAGGAAAACACACTACCTTACAACAAATTCATGATCTGTTCTATGAGAATCAGCTCTTTATTTAATCATATTAGCTACTCGATGAAAATGGTGCTTCAAAACCCGCATCATTTCTTTTTTAGTACTAAAAGTCCAATCCAAAGCAAAATTGTGAGGAAGATAAGGGGCATAAATGAGTAGTTTTGGCCATTTAACAACCTTATATTTTTGTTGCTGTGTGGAATGCTATGTTGTATTACCATTCTGCTTGAGCTAACCAATTACTCCACTCCTTAGGCTTTCCCAACACACATCTTAAATAGTTTTCTAAATACCTATTTAAAACTTCAGATTGATCATCCATTTGAGGATGATAAGCTGAAGATAACTAGCTCTAATAACACTGATACATGTCTGTTTGTTTTTATCGAAATGCTCCTCCATAATTCTTTGTATTTTTTATCTTGTTTCTACCACCAAAAACTTTCTTGAAAGTTAGAGTCGCTTACCAAGGACAAGTTAGCTCTGATATCATTGATAGAAATTTGTAATTCAGAAAAGAAAAGAAAAAGAGAGAAAGAAGAGGAGAATAGAGGAGAGAAAAAGAGGGAAATAAGTGAGAGGAGAATAGAAAGACTGAGATTCTAATACCAATGTTTACATAGGTAGTTTCTTATACTGCTTGTCCCATTTAAATAATGTCTTACATTGCTAGTAACAATCCATAACAACATTAACTAATTCTAATGGCTATTTAATGCTTTACCACCTAACATTTATTCAGAATTATTACAAATATAAAACAATTTATGATCATATTTTATTAACGACTAAACATGATGTAGATTTATTTCAGGTTGGAAATAATTACTTTCAGGTCCCACACCACATTCCAAGGTCCTATTTAGTTGTTAGAAATAATGAAAATGGAATGAAATAAAGAAATAAAGATAAAATTGAACTAAATTATCCTTATAATCATGATAAATATATATAAAAAAAACTAATGCTATATATTACAAATGTGAGAATTAACACTCCTTCTATGAATCTCATGAATCAAAACTCCCAATTTCATAAATTAAATCGCCCTCTTCCTTGATGAACATGTTTGTTCTATGTCCCTTCCATATTTTGATCATTTCATTTTTATCTTTATTTGATTATTTAATTACATTTTCATCATTTCTAACAATTAAATAGGCCTAAATTACTTGCAAGGTCCATTCAAAGTTTCTTTGCTCCATAAATTTTATGGTATTTTTAGTGTGTTGTGTTGGATTTGAGAGTATTTCTCCCTTTATAATATGTCCGATACTGTGTTTGATAGATATGAAAACTTAACTATGATAAGATTCTCTTCATTTAAATTTAAATAGATAATAGAATAGCTGGCCAATAAAAAAAAGATACTCCCTAGAAAGATAGGTTGGTTTAGCCATACGAAATCTCGTGTTTTCTAAGTTCACTTTGAAGCTAAGCCTTTAAATATGAAGGATTTTTCCATTTTTTTGGAAATAAGAGAAATAATATATAAGTTTTAAATAAAGAACTTATTTATGATTCTTTTATTTGGAAACATTAATTGATAGGTTATAATAATTTTTCTCAATTTTGAATTAAATTTTTATAATTTATTTTGTTTGAATTGAATCCTTATGTTAATATTTGAAGGTTAAAACTATTAATAAATAATTAATTTTCTCAAAACAAAGACACTTAAAATTTATAGAAAATTTGATTTGATATTTTAGGTAAAAAAGGGAAAAAAATTGATTTATACAGCGTTTATATTTTTGTTAATTGTTTATGAAAATTTTGTATGTATAAAATAATTTAGAAGATACAATTTAATTATATAAATTTTAATTTATAAAAATTATATAATTAATTTTAAAATTATATAAATTTTTAATAAAAATATAAAAGCGCTTAATTTATTTAAAAGGAAAAATTCAAGAATTTTAATCTTTAATATTAACAAATCTGACATATCAAATTTTAAAGGCTCAATTCAAATAAAATAAATTACAAGGACTTATTTTAAAATTGAAAAAAATTATAAAATCTTGTGGATTAATTTTTTTTTTTTTTTTAAAAATATATTTTATTTTATATTGATATTAATTTTTTTGACCAAAATTTTTTACATTGATTGTAATCGAATAGTTTTTGGTATATGGTAATTTATATTACAAGCATGCTCTTATCTAAACTAGAAGACAAGACTACACGAGTCTTTCATGTAAATGAAGTGTATGTACATAAAGTCATACACAGGAACATTAATCCGCGTTGTTTAAGAGAAATGAAAGAGAAGGGTGAAAGTTGAATTTTATTAATTTTTTAAAAAGGCACGAAAAAACAACTATAGTTTTTGATTTCTTTAATAACTTCTATTAATTATATTTTTTATTCCTAGTATAATATTAGAATTTTTTTTAGTTATCAGAATATATAAATATAAATAATAATTTATTTTATTTTCACATAATATACAAAAAAATTACTAACATATTGTTCCAATAAAGTAGTCAATTACCTTCAAATTAATACTATCTTTTCATATTAACCCTCATTTAATAAATATTTTATTTTAAAATAAATATAAAGTAATTTATTTATTATGAGTATTTTGGAAAAAAAGCACATTAATTATATTTTACAATATTTAAAAAGCCTTACATTTTTTAATATCCAACATTCAATTTCTAACCCCTCAAAAAATACCTTATATTTTTAAATGGAGGAGTAAGTTTTAAATTTTAAAATTCTGAAACATAAAATATAATTTTAATTTTAATTTATGTTATTAAAAATTAATTTTTTAAAATAATTTTAATTTATAAAAAATAAAACAACATTTGCGTCGGATGGCACCGTAGAACTACAGTGCCATTCTGACGCAAATTACAGAGGAGGAAGATTTCTCTTAAAAAAAAATTATAGTTTTTTTAAGGAAAAGATAATTTTTTGTGTTTTGCATTTTCACTGCAATAACTACAAGATTAATCTCGAGTCTTTCGTGCACATAAAGTCATAAACTTCATTCATGTAAGTTGCTTCTGAAAAAAATTGTAGATTTTTTTTTAGAGAAAGTCAATTCTCTTTTTGTTTTTCAAGTATCCTTATAACCGATAACCGACAATCATGAGATTAATTTCTTTAGAAATAGTCATTTAATGTGTTGTTCTTTCTGAAGAGGAGCTCTCCATACGCACCTGTATAAGTCAAACTTTTAAATGATGTTTAAGAGAATTAAACTATTATAATTTATGCCACAACCCATTTGGTGGAAAAGTCAAATATTTCATTGAGTTGAGGGTCATTTTGTTCACTCATTGTATGTAAAAGATTAATAGAATCCTAAATTTTACTTGAAATCAATTTTATCCTTGAACCTTTGAAATTCGAATCATCGCGCCCTTGAGGTTAATTTGCTCTCATCTACTGTTAATGGGTAGCTGGCATTTTTTATATTTTTTTAGCTTTCTCTCTCTGACCCCTCTCTCTCCATATCTCTCTCCCTGCTTGCACACACTTATAGACCAAGAGGCACAGGCTCTCGAACGCAAAGTCAGGAGACGACTCATCCTGAAGTTGCTGAAACTACAAGAATGGCTTATTCATAGTCTAAGCATCCACAATGGAAGACCCATTTTGAGTAACTCTTCACTAACCTCACAAACCAACACAGCTAGCCAAATGGATCAAGCTTTGAGAGAATGAACCGAACGTGATATAGATAATGCAAAGAAGAACCACACAGACACAGGCTCAAAGAGTGTTGTCATTCTCTCTTAGTGTATTTAAAACACACACTGAGACAGAGAGAATGTAGAAATGGAGTTGATTTAGGAAGAACCAGAGATGCTTGACTCGAGTCTGTTGAAACGTGGAGACTAAAGTATTATGTTGAGGGGAAGGATGCTTATAACATGAGGAAGTAGCTGAAGGGGAAGAAGCAGCAACATCATCATGTTCATATGGGAGACAGAGAGAGAAGAGGAGACGGAGGGCATCATTCGGGTTGCTATCCTTGAAGATGGATTATGAGGGTTTTTTTGGAGAGTGGACTTGGAGTTCACTACTACACTCACGTCGGAGAGCCCAAGCTTCTCAACTTTTTCGTGTTCTCTCTCTCCCCATTCTGTCTCTCCTCCATCTTGGTCACTTCTTCAACGTCCTTTCTCTCACACACACAGATATTATATATATATATATATATATATATGCATGCAACTCGTGTCTTTGTCGTGCAATTATCGACTAGACAGAGACGGAGGGAGTCTCCATCCAAGAATCGACAATCTCTTCTCCTTTCTCTTGGTCACTTCATCTTTGTTTTTTATTGAAAGAAAAGGGATAGAAAAGGAAGAAGAGGAAAAGGAAAAAAGAACAGGAGGAAGAGGAAGAGGAAGAAGGAGCGATGTAGGATTTCTTGGGGGCTAATGATGAAGGCAGAGAGCGAGAAGGTGACGGTGCTTGAGGAAGGGGTTAAAGCAAGTGGTGCTGGTGGACTTGCGAAGAGAATGGATGTGTAGGGTGGAGTCGGTGTAGGAGGGAGGGAGGCCATCGGAAGCTGCAGAGAGAGAGAGATGAGAAGAAGATGAAGAAGAGCATATGGGAGTTGCAGGGACGGGAGAGAGAGGAGAATATTAAAAAAAAAAAAAAAAGGTTGGACTCCAAATAATATTTTATAATAAAAATATTAAAAATTACAAACATGGGACCTATACTAAACGAAAGCTAGTTGAATCAGTGATAAGGCATTGGAAAAGAGAATTTTTCAGGGAGGATTACAATTAAGTGACACACATAAAAAAATTAATTATTATAAAATGTATTGATAATTGAACTAAATTGTATTAATAGTAATTAATTATTGTAAGTTTATTGATAACTGAATTAAATTATATTAATAATATATTGTCAATACAGTTTAATTCAATTGTTAATAAATTTATAATAATTAATTTTTTTATACGGGCTTAATTGTAATTCTTCAATTTTTATGTGGAGCAGCAAAACAAAACCCAAGTTTAAAGTCTATATTAGTCTTTTAACGTACAGTTAAATGATAAAAATAATCCTGAAATTTACTATATACAACACAATTTATATAGACTACGTTAGCCTTTTAGCATCTCATCTTTTCTGTAGTCTTACTTGTTCGAACCATGTCTGTGTAAATTTTATAGTTATATCTGTGAAACAACTATTTTAAATATAAATATCTTAATAATTTGCCTTACTGCTGACAGGAGGATATTGTGAGTGATTTTTTCGTTTTGGCCAACAATATTGTGAGTAATAAAAAAAATATCTTAATATCTATAATATTATATCCGTTATGGCCTCTTTTTTTTTTTGTTAGAAAAAATGGGATTCAAATTCCCCTTATTCGATTTTCTTCCTCATTGGCCCAAAAAAAAAAAAAGATTTTCTTCCTCAGCTTCAACAAAACTTAAATTCCATTTTTGCCTTGAACAGTAGAACAGTAGCAACGGTTCACATGTTCACTAACGGTTAAGAGGGCATTCCATTTGGCGGGAGATCATCCAAGAGCCACTTAGAGTGCTCTCATTCTTCGTCGTCTTTTTCGTCTTCTTCTTCTTCTTCTCGAGGATTGTTATAAGAAAAAAGGGTTTTCAAATCAAGCAGCCATGTGGAGTCTTGATTCTGATTGGTATTCTCCCAAAAGCCTCCTCAGCAGCCCCACCTATTACGATTTTCCGGTAGGTCAATTAAACATCGTTCTCATTCTCATATACTTTATGCATTCTCACCTTGTTATTGGGTCTTTGGGATTCTTGTACAGGGTGATCGCTTCATTCCCAACCGGAGTTTGATGGATCTTGATCAAGCGAAGAGTTTGTTGACAAATAGGACCAAAAAATTTCAAAATCCAAGTTTTGATGTATATTCCCCTCTATTATTCCTATCCTCTAAAATTACATTGTTTACTAGTTTATGTAGTAATAATTACTTTCTATAGCTCAAGAAAGACGGCTAAATGTATTACCGAATATAGTTCTTGACTGAACAAACTGTAAACTAGAAAACTTTTCTGTTTTTCCCCAAAATTTGCAGAAAGATTATTAATGTGGGTTTTATATTGTGTTGTCTACTTGAGGATTATGTGATGCGCCAGATGAGTTTCAAGATAATAGTGATTCTTCATGCCATGAAACTTCTTTTCTGGATATTACAAATGTTTTTTCTTCCTCCTGTTTGAATTGTTGGACATTCCAATTTACATGACAGGAAATGTACAGGCAGAAAGTTGAAAAGAAGTTGACTTCGGATGCAGATGGTAGACCATTTAGAATGTTGGTTTTCAGAGGAAGCCCAAAATCAAGTAGAAAGTCTATTCGTCACATTGATGAGATGCGAGAAGAAGAGGCAGCCGCATTACAAAATAGTACCAATCAGCATCAGATCCGTCAATTGCCTAAGGTCTAAAACTGTGCTTTCTTTTAACTACTTAAATCTATCTTATCATCTGTTTTAAACCTGCTTAATACGACCATTTATATTACACAAACATTTAGTATGTGATAGAACATATAGGAATTTATGCAAAAGCGCCTGTACTTGAACTTGACTTGCACCAAATCTTTGATAATCAAGTTCTTCAATTTGTGCAAGAGATTTTTTTTTTTTTGGGGGTGAACGTGCAATAGAATTTGTAGCTTGGTTTGAATGAAGACTTGAGATATACTCTGGAGTAGCTATAGTAATTGTTAGAGGTATAATCTCAGTAGCTGGTGAATATTTGTTTTCTTCCTTGGAAGCAATGGTAGATATAAATCTGTGGCTCAATATTGCAACCCCCCACCTTGTTTATTTACCCCCCCTTGTGCACGCATAAGCATACTTTATTTTATCTGATAGTATACACGCGCTCATATGTATATTTTATTTTCTTGATAGTGAGACCATGGAGTATTTTATATAAAATTTTCTATGCGGGGAGAATATGATGCTCTGAGTAAGTGGCTAATGATTTTGTTGATATAGTACCTCAAGAAGAAAAAACTAGATACTGAAATCACTTGAGAAGGGACAAAAGACAATGGCCTCGACACAATGTTTAAGCACTTTTTTCACTCAATGAACACATTGATTCTTGGATACTGATCAAGATTTGTCAATCCTCAAACTAGAAGCTTTCCTTTTAGTCATGGACTGGAAATAAAGTGTACTAGATGTAAATAACTAGTTGTTTCCCATCGTATATGAAGTTCACTGGAGGCTGAGATAGGAAAGAAGAAGTTGGTTGCCCAAGAGCTTTGGCTCAAGTGGCTTCTTCCTTGATGCCCATGGTTTGATTCCTCCCTCGTTCCTTTCCCTAGTCCGAAGGTCTATTGCTTCCTTTGTGACAAAACTGAAGAATGGTGTTGTCACTGGATGAGCAACAGAACAGTTAATAAATTTTGTAAAAACTAATTGATTCATTGATTTTTTCAGATTTTAGTTTCTTGGCGATGGAGATCCCACTCTCAAGGATTCTGCTATTAATTTGACTAGTATGCACACTTGTGCATCCTCGGGATAATCGTGCTTCTCATAGATATATGAAATTATTTTGATAAAATAATTATATATATATATATAGGAAGCCAATGGTTTATAAATAATGATATGATAGGTATGATTGGGCCATGTGCTTTGTTTGTTTGTATTAGTTTTTGAAATGTTTATTTTATTGATAATTATAATTTGTCATGTCAATGGGTCTCACACTTGTGTGATCACACAAGTCAGTGTTTAGAAGACATTTGCGTAGCACACAAGCTAGTGGCCTGCGATATCCCATGTAATGCATTGGTTAACATTTTAGTAGTGTAAAAAAGATGGAAAAAATTGTTAGAAGAACTTGAATTGTGAGTAAATGAGGGGGGAAAGATGTGAAAATTACTGTAGACGATGAATTATCTTGAGCACTAAAAGATGAAAAATTTCAGTGACATTTTGAGTTTAGTTGAGAAATTTTTCAAAGATAAAAGATTAAAAAGAAATGAGGGAAATAAATTGAATATACCAGAGAAGGACAGTAATAGTAAGGAAAAAGAGTAAGAACAAATAATAAAGGAAGACAAAGTAGATAACGAGACATAGAGTCATTGAACAATGAAAAAGGATTTTAGTTTCATATGATATATGGTTTTGTGCATAAAATTCAAGGAGGGATTAACTCTTTTTACTTTGTACAGTTTTCCTTTACTTAATTAAAAGTGGAAGTGGAATTTGGTGGTTTTGGAGAAAGTAAATGGAGATAGTGCTATATAAATAGATAGTGTTCCCCCAATATTCTTTATCAAAAATAGGCATAACACGTCATTGTAATACAGTTGAAATTATTGAGTAATTCTACACTTGCAGGGAGAAGCAAGGATATTGGATGCACCAAACCTTAAGAATGACTTCTACTTAAATATTATGGATTGGGGCAAGAATAATGTTCTTGGTATTGCTTTGGGCTCAGATTTGTACCTGTGGAACGCAGAGAATAGGAATGTAATTAAGCTGTTCCAAGCCATTGGCAGCGATTATCCCACGAGTGTTGCCTGGTCTGAAGATTCCCAATTTGTTGCAGCTGGCTTTATGTCCTCTAAACTTCAACTGTGGGATGCTGAGACTTCCAAAGCCGTATGTATCTCTTTCAAATTTTCTGGCTTATCTAAGATCAACACGTAGTCATACTATGTGACAGGTAGTGTAAGCCCTAATTTATATCTTCAATTTTCAGGTAAGAAGTCTCGAAGGTCATGATGGAAGGATAGCAACCTGTGCATGGAATGGTCACATTCTAACATCGGGAAGCCAAGACAAATCTATAATCAACCATGATGGTAATGTAGTCAGTTTTGTAAACTCTTTAATATGTGTAGTGGATATGACCAGGTATTGATAGAATGAATTCATGCTCTTGCTAGCAGCAAGGGCAAGAAGTAACGTGATTTCCCGGCTACAGGCTCACTCAGAAGAGGTTTGTGGATTGAAATGGTCAGGAAGAGGCAATATCTTGGCAAGTGGTGGCAATGAGAATCTTTTATATATATGGGACTCCGCCAAAATGAGTTCATCCAATTTCTTGAACTGTTTTAATGACCATTGTGCTGCTGTTAAGGCCCTTGCCTGGTGCCCTTATCAATCAGATGTACTTGCATCTGGAGGTGGCACACAAGATGGAAGTATTAAGTTATGGAATATCCAAAAGGGAACTTGCATATGCAGCATAGATACCAAAGCTCAGGCAAGATAGAAAATTTTTGTTTATTTTTTTGTAAATATCTTAAAGAAATTCTTGGTATATTTCTTGCACAACTGAGTCGTATGCATCAAGCCAATATAAGTTCACCAAAGTGAATACATTACTTTCACAATTTTTCAACTGTCAATTATTTTTGTTGATCTACAGGTTTGTTTCACTTACTAGTACAGATTAGTTCTGCCTTAAGTCCTGGCTGTCAAACCTTGAAGACAAAATGCTTTGAACTAACTGAAGTACTATGGTGTTTTGTGTAGGTTTGCGGACTAGAGTGGAATAGGCACCACAAGGAGATATTAAGTGGTCATGGGTTTAGTACTAGTTCGCATCAGAACCAACTATGCTTATGGAAGTATCCATCCATGATTAATGTAGGATGCTTGAACCGTCATGCTTCCAGAATTCTCCACCTAGCTCAGGTATGGTTGCGACTCTAGCATGGTGGTGGCATATAAACCTATTACAAGTCCAGATATAATTTATAAACCCAGTGCTACAATTCAGTTGTGATGTATATAATGATGACTTCATCTTTCTTTTTCTGGCAGAGCCCTGATGGTTTGACGGTGGTATCTGCTGGGGCAGATGAGACTCTTCGGTTCTGGGATGTTTTTGGTCCACCCAGTAAAGAAGGTTCAGAGATGTCAGAGCTGGATAATCTCTTGTCTCTCAAGATATCCCCAATAAGATGATGTGAAGGAGTTCGTTCTTTTAAGCTGGATTAGTTTTGTGTAAATATTTGTTATTGATTGCTCAGTATGATCTGTGTCCAATAAATGATTTATTGAGAAATACGTGTAATTGGTGAGGAACAGTGGCATGTTTGTGAACTTTCATGTGCAAGAGCCATGAAGTTAAAACGAGTTTACTAGTTCGCACAGTGACTTCCGTCAACAGGTTCTCAAAATTTCCACAAGATAGGTGATTGGTGAACCATAAATGAAGCACTAACTCAAATATACAAAAGAATGATGATTACTACTCTGGATCAAAATTTGGCAGCTGTAAATGATTGGACCTCAACAGCACCACCTAATCAACCTACCTGGTTCAAATAGCACATTACGATTTATAGCTCACAGTTGTGGATAAAAATCATCAAGCATCTGCGTCAGCGTCACTATCAGGATAAATTTCTTCTGTAGTAGCTTCCCTGGGGGTCAATGTCTCTTCTTCTTCCTCTCTTCTTTTTCTCTCATCCTCCCTCTCCCTCTCAGCTACTTGAGCCTTTGCTTGTTCAAGCCTCAAGCTGACTGCTTCCCACGACACTAGCCTATCCATGAACACAGAGATATATTCCAGCCGCCGGTTCTGTCAAGGCAAAACGGTCATGGATATAGTTATCTGATGGACAAAAATTAGAACGGTAGCAACAGCATAATGTTTAACAAACAAAACCTCACCTGAAAGTCCAGGAAGTAAGCATGCTGTAAAGAAATAAAAAAATCCATTGCAAAGTCAGTACTTGGATAATAATGACTTCTAAAGATTTACGTTAGTCTTTCATTTACTAATATAAATATGAACTTTAAAATGTAACAAATGCCTCTTGAACTTTGGACTATAATGAAAACACAATCTCAATTAATTTCTGGGACTACAAAAGGAACTTTTGCAAATTTTGATGTTGAGTGAAGTCAAATATGGCTACTACGGTCAAAATGACATAGCCTCTTGCTGTGAAATGCAAATTTTAAACCAGCTTTAAAGTTTTTCATTCCAGTCCAAAGTTAAGAGGGGAATTAGAAAGTAAAGTTGAGTAAGTACCTCCCAAACATCAATGGTAAGGAGAGGCTGCAAGATATTAATAAGAAATCTCGTTAGTCATAGATATATCATCCAGTATGCTTATACTCTACCAAGCATGACATCAACAAATTAAATTTACTTACATAGTAGTCCCAGATAAGAGGGTTCACAGCATTGGGGCTCGTGACTATTACAAGTTTCTTGTCCTCATCTGATGGACGAGGATTTACTGCATTTCCAACATCGAGTCTGTTTGCTTTATCTATATTTCAGCAATTGGAGAAAAACAAAAAGTTACTAAGTGCTTGATAGGTTAGACTTAGCAAAGACTAAATGAATGGAGAAAATAGGAGATGAAATGGTTTTGCTAGCACTCACATACAAGCCAAGCCCAACCAGAACCAAATTGTGTTGCAGCAGCAGCCTTAAACTCATCAACAAATTTTGGAAATGAACCAAAATCTCTTTCAATTAGTTGCAGAAGATCCCCAGATGGGACCCCGCCACCACCTGGTTTAATTGACTCCCAGAAGAAGTCATGGTTCCAGGCCTTCAAAAAGAAAATCTGGATTACTTACAACAACTTGAAAAACTGTACAAGACTTAGTTTCAAATTGCTATACCTGAGCTGCATTGTTGAAAGCTGGAAGACTGTCACCCCTGTTGTATGAAATAACTACAATGTCTTCCAGTGACTTATCCTCTAGATCTGTTCCTTCAATTTGCTTGTTTAGGTTATCCATGTACGCTCTGTGGTGCTTCCCCCAGTGATACTCTAGTGTCTCCTGGCTCATTACTGGCTCTAAAGCATTCTGAAGATTTTCAAGAGGATTAAATACAGGTTGAAAGTTGATGCACCAAAGTAAATGCTTCAGAAATTATATGTGAACCCACACTCAAGTAGTTATATGTGAACCCACACTGAATTAGAAGTTGAAATAGATCTTTGATTAAAATAACTGCACAGAAGCAATCCACCAATAGGGCAGAATTGCTTTCACTGAGAAATAAGAGACTGATACAGAAAAAAGACATTAGCTATGAGAGAGGCTAGTAATCTTTCCAGTTCCCCAAACTCCAAAAAATTCTCCATAACCCTCTTCCATTCTTCCTTCACTCTTCTTAAGCCTTCCAATAGAATTTTTAAACCTGCCTAATGGCACATCTCCTACCCAAATCTATCTGAAAACCCAAAATCTGTGTAACAACCTCCTCCAGCTTAGGCCTTAAATAGTCCCTTCATTGGAGGCTCGTTAACTATAATATTACTCCAACAAATACTGTAGAAGTTTAGGCAATTAAACCATGTACCGCTAGCTTACCATCATTTGCGGTCAATGTTACATACAGAATTTGTTTCATTGTTCATTTGTTGTAATTGATATACAAATAGAGAACTTAACTGGTTATATTTCTAAACATAAGAAAGCAGCATAACAGAATGAAGGATGATTAAGAGAAAAATGTGCAACTTTAATTCATTGCTAAGAAAAATTGAACTGTTAACAAAGTTACTGTTATGTACATGTTGTGGTAAGAATAATTGTTCCTATTGGTTATACTCTTTAGCTTTTAGCTTCTCTGACAGAGTGTCTAGCTCCACCCGAAAAGCAAGGCCTAGTCTACTTTTGGCACATGTAACTAAAATCATAAATTTAAATGACAACCATGCAAGTATAAGGACATTTAACTACTACCAGGTAAAAGTACAACTTTAGAGCTTACCAGTGGATATGGAGGAGGCTTCAGATCAAACTTTGCAGTAATTTTAGCAGGTACGACTTTCTTTATGAACCTTTTCTGCAGTGCACAACATGCTTACTTAAATGGCTAATACAAAAAAAGGAGAATCACATTCAAGGACCTGAAAAAAAAGTTATTCATAGACAAGGACCAATAATAAGTCCCATCCAAGAAAAAACATGTCCATATTTCCATTTTAACACAATCCATTCCATATTGGTCCTTGTCTGTGAATAATTTTCTTGTCAAGTCCTTAGATGTGATTCTCCCAACAAAAAACTGGTGTACTTAGTTAACAATCAGAAAATTGTATTAGCAACACACTGAAAGAATATACTTCCTGTAAGATTCTACTTGAGCAATAAATAGCCTTTGTTCTGAGGCATAACAATCTAGCTACCACTTAAGAGAATTATGCTACATATTTTTCAAATTTATTATATGTATCATGTAATTTACAAATTGACTGATCATAAATGAATGACCAAACAAAACATACAAGGATAAGATCAACTCATCCTACAATCCAATTCAAATTAATCACTTAGTTGGCTGGCCGGTAATATCATAACAATATTTACAACTAATAATTCTGCTTTGACTATTTTTACACCAAGTTTTTCACATGAGAATCGCAAAATTTTTTGAAGTATTAGGTGCCCAGGCTTTATATTATTAAGGCCTGCTCTTCTAATGCCCCTTGCTAGAAAAAGGGTTCCATTAGATGCATTCAACCAATAAGGTTGGGCTCAATTACTGCTGATGATCCTTTATTGTTAGGCATCCACTAACTTCAAATGGATACAAATACACCTGATAATTTTACGAGTTTGATGTTTGATATGAAAAGATTGTAGGCACTGAGCAATGAACCTACTAGAGCTTTTTCATATTTTACATTCACGCATCATCATTAAAAATAAGAGGTATATACTCTTCCTAATGCTGGAACCATAATTTAGCCTGCATAATTTAATATGGTGGGGAACTGGCTGTAGTGTAAAACGCTAACTGGCAAAAATTTATTCAGAAGTTTATCCTCTTCCTTATTCAGAGGTGAATACAAGGTGCCTCCCACTGTGTTCTAGTATTGTGGCAATGCACATGCTGCACTTAATTTAATAGTGCTCTAAATTAGGAATTAAAATTTTGTTTCATTTTGGATTGTTTGAATAATAGTTTTTCATATCCAAGATAGCAACTTTTGTCAGGATTTTGGTTAGTCACAATTTTGCATGCAATACGCTTATAATTAGGACTACCCAAAAGCTGGTTTATTCACCCCTTTCTTATTGATTGTTCTATTGAGATTATTGAGAGTTGTCAAAGTCTTTTCCTATGGTTATTGCAAGATTATGATTCTGGAAAAAGATAGTTTATTCATTCTGAGAGAAGGCATATATACAGGAGGGAGGAGCCTCAATATTAATGGCTCACAATGAATCTTAATTTACAAATATCCCTATGATTAAGGTATCCCTATAATTACGATATGTACAATAAATAAGAAATCTCCTATTATCTCAACACCCCTCCTCAAGCTGGAGCATAAGGCTATGTTTGGTTTGAGGGGAGGGTTTTTAAGATACCTTATTTGGTTTGATTAGAGGGGAGGGAAGGAGAGGACGGAGGGTTTTTAATGATCTTTTGTTTGGTTTGGGAGGGGAAGGGAGGTAATAATTAAATTACCATTATACCCTTGTACAATAATATTTTTATTTTTTAACCTTTTATCACACAAATCTATTTTACATATAAACTCAAATTGTATAATTTTTTCTTAAAAATTATCCTAATCTTATCAATTTTTTTTTTTACTTCGTCACCCCTAATAAGTAAATTTAATAATACTATTAAATAATCTTATTAGTAAACTAATCTAGATATTAAACAATACTTTGTGAAAAAAATCAATGAAACTAATGATTTTATACCCTCAATAATTGCACAAGACAATGCTAGTCCTTAATAACAATTGAGCAATAATTGTCATCATTAATAACAAAATATATTGGGCAAGAGCATCTAACATATTGATCATGCTTAGGAACCACATTTTGAGCTTCTAGTTAACAAAATATACAAAAATTATCAATAAAAGTCATCATCTAATCAGAACTATAGAACATCCTCATTATCACTTCCTTTCGTACTGGTGGTGGACATTGAATTGCTGCTCTAAGCCTATCATTATCAGCCATAAGAAACCAATATATGTCAGGTAATCTTGCAGCATCAATCCCACACTCTTCAAGCATTTTCCAAATTTCTTCACCAGACAATTGTGGCACCTTCTTGAAACTTTGTCCTATCATCACATTTCCTTGTTGAATTGCCTCAGCCACAGCTAACACTGCTCCTGTCAACTCATTTAGACTAGCCTCCTTCTCCTTAGACACCCTCTTTGTCTTCTTGCTACATGCACTATTAATAGTGGGTGAGTGCTCTTGGTCAGGTGAGTTTTCTTGTCCCGGTGAGTTTTCTTGTCCATCAAGCTCAACATTAATAGTGGCTCTATTTTGTAGAACAGAAAATTACATTTCCCATGAATCTCTGGATGTTCTTTGAATTGTTGCCAAAGCTGTACATAAGAACGATGGGAACAGTCACATAAATCCCAAACTTAGCAATCTCAAGGATTCCTTTCGATGTGCCAAGAGAAGACATCTCAGTGGATGTTTTAATTTTGCGGGACATAAAGAAACACCAGCATTTTAGCACATAATATTAGATATGATATGTTTACCAATGATAGTCAAGTCAAGTGAAATGGATCAAATTGAAGAAAACGGTGGGCCTTTCTACAGAGCACTGTTCTCAGAGCAATTATCATATAAGCTTCCAATTGTTTATTCATTAACTTAAATGCCCACTGTTTTCTTCAATTTGATCCATTTCACTTGACTTAACTATCATTGGTCAACATATCATATCTAATATTATGCGCTAAAATGCTAGTGTTTATTTATGTCCCGCAAAATTAAAACATCCACTAAGATGTCTTCTCTTGGCACATCAAAAGGAATCCTTGAGATTGCTAAGTTTAGGATCTATGTGACTGTTCCCATCGTTCTTATGTACGGCTTTGCCAACAATTCGAAGAACATCCAAAGATTCATGGGAAATGTAATTTTCTATTCTACAAAATAGAGCCACAATTAATGTTGAGCTTGATGGACAAGAAAACTCACCGGGACAAGAAAACTCACTTGACCAAGAGCACTCACCCACTATTAATAGTGCATGTAGCAAGAAGACAAAGAGAGTGTCTAAGGAGAAGGAGGCTAGTCTAAATGAGTTGACAGGAGCAGTGTTAGCTGTGGCTGAGGCAATTAAACAAGGAAATGTGATGATAGGACAAAGTTTCAAGAAGGTGCCACAATTGTCAGGTGAAGAAATTTGGAAAATGCTTGAAGAGTGTGGGATTGATGCTGCAAGATTACCTGACATATATTGGTTTCTTATAGCTGATAATGATAGGCTTAGAGTAGCAACTCAATGTCCACCACCAGTACGAAAGGAAGTGATAATGAGGATGTTTTATAGTTCTAATTAGATGATGACTATTATTGATAATTTTTGTATATTTTGTTAACTAGATGCCCAAAATGTGGTTCCTAAGCATGATCAATATGTTAGATGCTCTTGCCCAATATATTTTGTTATTAATGATGACAATTATTGCTCAATTGTTATTAAGGACTAGCATTATCTTGTGCAATTATTGGGGATATAAAATCATTAGTTTCATTGATTTTTTTTCACAAAGTATTGTTTAATATCTAGATTAATTTACTAATAAGATTATTTAATAGTATTATTTAATTTACTTATTTAGGGTGAAGAAGTAAAAAAAAAATTGATAAGATTAGGGTAATTTTTACGAAAAAAATTATACAATTTGAGTTTATATGTAAAATCTATTTTTGTGATAAAAGGTTAAAAAAATGAAAATATTATTGTACAAGGGTATAATGGTAATTTAATTATTACCTCCCCTCCCCTCCCAAACCAAACAAAAGATCATTAAAAACCCCTCCCCTCCCCTTTAATCAAACCAAATAAGGTATCTTAAAAACCCTCCCCTCGCCTCCCCTCAAACCAAACATAGCCTTAGAGTATGTTCTACATTACTTGAAGGCAATATCAGGCCAACTTACCGTGAGATAGTTTATTTTCGCAATCAATCTTTTGTACCTCTCAAGTTTATCAGATAATGCACTCTTATCATCATCATCATCAAGATTAGGATTTAGGATCATACGATAATTGTACGGTGCAGCTGCTAGTTTTCCTATTTATTTCAACAAATCAAGAACATACTTTCGTTGGGACAGAAGAATGCTCTTGTTGCTCAAAACTTCAAGCCCCTAAAAACATCTTAATGGTCCCAAATCTTTTGTTTAAAAGTGAGAATGAAGAAAGAACTTAAGAGATGAAATGCTCGAGCTATCACTCCCATTAATTACAATGTCATTAACATACACAACTAGAAGAATTAGGCCAGTAGTCATCTTTTGATAAAACAGAGTGATCTCAATTACTTTTACTCAAATCAAACTTCTTAACCACATCACTAAACCTCTTGAACCAAGCACGAGGACTCTACCTCAAGCCATTTAGAGACATTTTCAAGCAACATACTTTCCCATTCTCCCTCTGAGAAACAAAACCAAGTGGTTGCCCTATGTAGATTTTTTCAAGAAGATCACCATGGCTTTTTTTTTTTAAATATCTAATTGGTGGAGGTCCCAACCATAAGAAGCAGCACATGGAAATAAAGAATCAAACCAACAGAGCTTTGCCACCGTGGAGAAAGTCTCCGAGTAGTCATCACCATAGGCATGAGCATAGCCTTTAGCAACAAGATGAGACTTGAGGTGATCAAGTGTTTTAGAAGTAAGTACCTATTTGCTTCTAATAGCCTTCTTTCCCACAGGTAAGTCCACTAAGGACCAATTGCTATTACACTCAAGGGCCATCATCTCCTCCATCGTAGAACGCCAACCCAAGTGAGACAAGGCTGTCTTAGGGATAACAATGGTATCTAAGGAGGAAATAAAAGAATTGGAAGCAAGAGGCAAATGATCATAAGAAACAAAAGAGGAAATGGGATAGGTGCAAGTACGTTAACATTTGCAAAGAGCAATGGACTAAGAGGACACACTAAGAGGTCATCATCCTCCGCATGTAGAGAAAGATCAAAACAAATGGAACCATGAAATGTAACATAGATAGACACTAAATACTAGCTAAGAGTAGGAGGAGAACACCGATAGCCCTTTTGACAAGGAGAATACCCAAGAAAAACACATTTAAGAGATTTGGGGTCTAATTTGGTAATTGGGAGATGAACATCTCGAACAAAACAAGTGCAGCCAAATATCTTAGGGTCAATAGGAAACAATGGTTGGGAAGGAAAAAGAGGAGTAAAGGAATGTTACCATCAAGAACAGAGGAGGGCATTTGGTCAATAAAAAATCATGCAATGGAGAAAGCACTATCCTAAAAAGGTTTTGGAACTTTCATCTGAAACATAAGTGCTCATGCTACTTCAAGCAAGTATCGATTTTTACGTTTAGCAGCACCAATTTGAGCTGGGGTACCACACATGAAGATTGATGAATAATACCATTTTGAAGCATAGATGATTTGAAAGAAGCAAAAAACATGTTATTTAGCACTATCATTGTGCAAAGTTCATATTGAAATATCAAATTGAGTCTTAATCTCAACACAAGAAGCACAAAAGAGAGAATAACTCAGACCGATTTTTCATTAAATATAACCAAGTAACACAAGAATAATTATCAACAAAGTAACATAGTACTTAAAACCAGACTTAGACTCAATATGACACGGACCCTAAACATCGGAATGAACTAACTCAAAGGGGAACACAACCCATTTGTTGACTCTAGACGTAAGTAGAAGACAGTGATGTTTGGCAAATTGACACAACTCACAATCTAAGAAGGACAAATGATGAAATTGAGGATAAAGCTTCTTTAAGGATGCCAAAGACAAGTGACCTAATCAACAATGAAGATCAAAGGGTGTTAATACATCGAGCAAGCTATGCCTCAAGGGACCTAACTATCAAGAAAGTAATAACTGCCAAATCCATAGCCCCTACCAATAATCTTTGTTGTAAGATCCTAAATCAAGCAATAATGACAAAACCAAAAGACAACAATTCAAGTCATGAGTAAGTTTGCCAGGAGAAAGAAGATTAAGAGCAAGATCAGGTACATCTAGCACTAATGATAAATGAATTGAAGGGGTAGGAATGGCAATGCTAGAACCAAGAACCCAAGAAGTGGAGCCATCAGCAATAATGATACCAGAGGGATTGGCATATGATTTATAGGAGAAGAAAAGATGACGATTACCTATCATGGGGTCAGTGGCACCAAAATCTATGATCCACAACTGGTGGAGTAATAGATTTCAAAGATTCTTGGTGTTTAGAAAACTGGGCATATTCAGCAGCGGAAATCATAACATTGTCATTTGATGATGATGCCACATGTGTAGATTGAGAGCGTCATTGTTTGTCCTGAAGCTTTCGACAAAGCATGCTTGGTATGGCCTAGTTCATGACAGTAATAGCATACAACAGTACCAGAATCATGATTTTGAGTACTAGCTCCCCTTAGCTTCAAACCCCTCCGATTAGGTGGACCACAACAAATCAGAGCACTAGTATGGTCAATAAAGGGCTTGGATGGCAGATTCTTAGTTAGCATTACTCTAGAGAATGTGTCCTGAAGATTAGATATCTCAGTGCCAGATAAGATTTGAGACCGGACTGTTTCATATCCAGCAGGAAGGCCTTTAAGAAAGCTCATGACAGCCATTTGTTCTCGTTTGACCTGTTGAACTTTCAAGTCAGCAAACAGTGGTAGCAATATGTTCAACTCTTCATATGTCCGCTTAAAATCCATAAAGTAAGCCTTAAGGGGTCGGTCCTGCTTCTCAACACAATAAAAAGCTTTGCCAACTCCATAAATACGTAAAATATTCCCCTTTCCTAAGTATAGAAACTCCAGATAATCCATAAGTTCTTTAACAAATTCACAATGATTAACGAAACTAATAATCTCACTGCCAATAGAATAAGGAATCCGTAAAAATAACCGAGCATCATCCATTTCAATACTCCATAGATAAATGCAAACCATTTTGCTCCCATCCAGAAAATTTGTCCAATTTAATTTGTGATCAATAATCCAAGTCACAATAGGGACCTCTTGAGCAACAGTGCCTCTGTTTCTGTCATTAGAAACTGACCAACAAGAATACAAAGACTAATCTGAGATTAGAAATGCACAAAACCAAGGAACAAACAAAGGTCAAAGGGCCAAAACAAATGCTAAAATAGGATGCACAACAACAGAGAATGTTCACCCAGAGGAAGTATGAACCCTAACATGGAAACCACCAGAATCAGGCCAAAAATGAGGAGGTGAGCACAAGGGAGAAGATTGCTATTGAAAACAAGTCCTCATGCACTTACACGTGCCTGGTGCATGGATTGACAACAAAGCCTTTGCCAGCGCGTGTGCTTTATTTGCTACTTGGATTGCCATCAGGCACTGAGAATAGGTTGATCAGAGGAAGCTAATATGGACTAGCAGGGTGGTGTCATCAAACAACTTTACCACAAAAACCCTCAATTTAACCCTCCTCACTCAAACATGGTAGCCTGTGGGGGTAAAAAAAATACCTAAAGCTATTGATAGGCTCCGATACCATGTAAGCTTATGATTCTGGAAAAGATCATTTATTCATTCTCAGAGAATGTGTGTGTGTGTATAGGAGGCAGGAACCTCAGAATTAATGGCTCATAATGAGTATTAATTTACAAATATCGCTATGGTTAAGGTATCCCTATAATTACAATATGTACAACAAATAAGAAATCTCCTACTATCTCAAGAGTATGTTCAGCAAAATAACAAGTGAAGGCAGCAGCAGCAGCAACACAAACAACAACTAGAAAGGGTAAAGATATAATGCAAAAGTGATAGGCCCTTCTCTTTTTCTTACCTCGAGAAGAAATATTTAAAATTGGAAACCGCATTTCATTAACCCAGACTTCAAAGAATTTCAACCCAGAATTGTTATATGCAAACAAATACTACTTAAAAAATCTCAGAGACCAAACGGCGCAAGCAGAGTACAAGTGGAACAGCCAAAAGCAAGATAGTTGAAAGCAAACCTCTCTGCCACTAGATCCCAGAGCTCCGAATAACCCTGTGAAACAGAAACCGAAATCAATAACAAAGAATAACAGAGAACAGAGATGCAGTTGGGAGCAGTAAAGATTGCAAACCGTGGCGAGGAAGAAAGGCACATTGGAGCGAAGTAGTGGTAGCGGATGCGACTGGCAATTGCATTTCTGAGTCTGAGAAAGTTTAACGGGTAGTTCAATCAGGCGCTGCTTCAAGTTTTGGTTTTGCTTACGCTTGCTATCAGGATAAAGTCCCTCACAAAGTATTTGGCCCCGTCTCGGGGCAGGAGCGACTGAGAACACCGGTGACAGCAGCACAAGTACCCCCTGAAGCTGAAGTTGATGAATATGAAAAAGAACAGTTATTTTTTTTTTTTAAACTAAAAATCCAATAAAATTGTGTTTGAATGGATGAATTTAAATTGAGAATTTCAGGTAAAATTAATAGATTTTAAATTTTTATTTGGATTATATAAAAAATTTTAAATTTTAATATTAAAATTTTTTGTTTGAATTTAACGTAAAATTTCAAATTTTAAATTCTATATTTGAATTTATAAGAAATTTGGACGACTGGTCAAAGTCGATGATCTAAATGACCAACTTTTATCGGGATCAAATAGTTAAAGTTGACTAGAACTATAGCACCTGTGATGACCTGGATGACATGGCCAACTATCACTGAGACCGAACCAACTATACGATAGGGACCGAACAACCTACTTCTATCGGGACCAAACTAACAATAATGATCAGGACCGGACGACCGACTTACATTAGGATCAGACCAATGACAATGATTTGGACAAGACAAGCGACCAAACTGAGGGCGACCATTAGGACTAAACGGCTGATTTTCACTGAAAATAAACCAACGACAATGATTAGGACCGAACAATTGACTTCCACCAAGTTTGGTCCCAGTGGGAGTTAGTTGGTCTGATTTCGGTGAAAGTTGGATGTCCAATTCAGGTCATCACTGTTGATCCGATCTTAGTAAAAGTCAACTGTCTAATCTCAGTTGTTGCCGTCAATTTTGTCCATGTGGAAGTTGATCATCCGATTCCCGTCGTCCTTCCCATCCTAATGGAAGTCAACTGTTTAGTCCTGGTCATTGCTATCAGTTCGATCCTTGTGAAAGTCGGTAGTCCTATCTCAGTCATCTCCATTGGTATGGTCCCGGTGAAAGTCAACTGTCCGATTCCTATCGACATCGTTGGTTCGATCTCGTGGAATCAGCCTTTCAGTTTGGGTCAATGGTGGCAACTTGTTTCCGTCCCCTTCGACGGTCCTATCTAATTACCGTTAGCAAGCCAATCAATCAAGCATTCATAGATTTAGATCAAATTACAAAAGAGATTAAGTTAGGATTTAAAATAATATGATCTTAGAAAGGATTTCAAATTACAAGAAGATTGGGGTAAAACTTGAATTCATACATTTTTAATTACCCAAATAATAAATTTAGTTCAAATTCAAATTCAAATCCATATGTATCCAAACATAGTATAATGAAAATAAAAAAGGTATACAACCATACCTAAAGGACAATAGTTAAATTCAAAAGACAAATTAACATATAATATATTTTATATATTTCAAAAAAAATGTTTTTGAGTGTCGGGTTAAACCTGAACTTGATCAGGCTTGACTCAATTTCTTTTCATGTCTATTCAAGCTAGAATAGGCTCAAGTATTTTAAAAATATTATTTTGTTACTAATATGTTTGGATTGACCTGTTAAATTTAATCCAAATTATCAACTACATTTTCAATTAAGATTTTTTTATGACTATTCAAATTATACCTTTGTAACTTACAAGCTACAATTGCCGCTAAGAGTATCATTAGTGATGATCAAAGCTCATATAGCATATGTTATTTTTTTTTTTAATTGTTCACATGCATCTTTCTATCAAAAGCAATTATATTGGAAGAACAATAAGGTATTAAATATAAACACTTTTTTCATAGAGATTTGAAATGTAATTGACTATGTTATGAGGAACTAACTTCTTCTATTAAATCCAACCCGTTTCTTACCCATGTAGCATATTCAAAATGTATGCTATATATAAGTCAAGTGTATATGAGTCAGACTCAATTCATAAAAGTTCAAATGACTAAGTCTGGCCCAAATACCTGAATTATCAATTTTTCTTTTTAAAATTAATTTTAATTTTTTTACTTTAAAATTAATTATTTTTATTTTACAGATACTTATGATGTAGAATACTCAAAATTTTAAAAAAAATTATGTGGGTCATAAAATTTAAAAATTTATATTAAAATATATTTTAAATATTATTTTGATATTTTATAAATAAAAAATAATAAAAATATGACCATATAATGATTTTATTTTAAAAAAATCTATAATAATATATTCAAATAGATTATATCTTAATATAAAATAACTTAAAATTTAAAAAATAATCAATATTTCAAGACCAAAGACAATTGAAATGAAAAATAAAGAGAAAGTTGATGGGAAAAGAAAGGGAGAGAATTCGAATCCTAATTGAAACGAGCAAATTCTCACTTTCAAGCATTTGTCATTTCCCTCAATCCTAGCCTTCCATTTGTGATAACGTTTCTTCAGTTTTGGGCAATCAATGGTCAAGAAATTAAACCTCAAAGAGGCAAAACATTATGTTTGAACAATCTTATTTACTACCCTCCACCAATCGATGCAAAAAATACCCTTCATTATTGACATAAAAAGTCTTATTCAATACGCATGCAATAATATCCAACTTAAGAGCCTTAAAAGCATGGTTGGTATGCGAAAAAGTATTTTAAAAAAAATAGATGTATTTCTCTCTTTTTTAAAAAAAATATTATTTTACCTATCAAACATTGCATAAAATTAGAAAAGAAAAAATATTATTTTTGGGAGTTTCCCCTCCTATTTTTCTCTCTCTATTTCACTCCGTCCGATCACATTTATAAGTTACATTCTAAAAGATTTATTTGATCCTATTTGTAAGTTATGGTGTGATTTTTTTGATAATAGTTGAAAGGTATTTCCAAATTTACCTTTTGTGAGAGAAAAAAATAATATAATATCACTTTTTGAATTTATTATATAGGGACATATTTTAGAATTTTACACACTTTTTTTTGCATTGGTATTAATGAGATTGGTAGAAATAACTTATCAAGAGGCTTGGAGGAGTACTTCCCATCCAAATTAACGGTCAACTACTGAAAATTAGAGCTGTCAATTAAGGTTAGGTTGGCCCTTTAAGAAACCAAGTCTTAAACAAACTCATCCTATAAAATTTAATTATGCCTCAGAGTTTCATTTTGGTCAGCCTAGCATTGACCCTCAAGGTTGAAGGGCTGGCCCTTAAGACCTCAACTCTATAATTGTTTTACTTTTCAATTTAAAAATTTAAAAAAAAGCATATTTAAAATTTCAAAAAAATTATTACATATAACATTAAGTATAGAGAAACAAATTTAAGTTAATACACGTAATAATAAATTTAAGTCTAATAAAAAACAGCAGCATCATAAAATGAATATCAATAACAATAACAATCAGACTTTGCTAGTACCATCAACTAAATCTTGATGATTTTCATTGTTATCAATATCAATATAATTTCATCTTTATTCTTGTGGAGCCTCATTAATGAAAAAGATATTAAGTTTATCATATATTTATTCTTTATCCTCGTGAAATGAGGCTAAGGTTTTAGAATTAATGTAATATTTAATTTTTTAATATTAAAATAATAAAATTATAAAATAGCTTAAAAGGATCGACCCTATTTTATTTTAACCTTTTTAAATCTAAATTGTTATTTTACATTTTAAAGTAGTGGCTTAGTCTTAAATTTTTTTTGAGTTTAAAAAGACTGACTTGATGGAACTCAACCCTAATTGACAGATTTATTACAAAATGTCAGTGCATATATTTTAACGGGTGTGTGGGGGAGATAAATATAGATCAAGGACTTTGCATGGCCAATATGTGAGAAACCGACAGGTAGATCAAAATGCAAGCCATATGAGTATAAAAGACGATTTTTTTTTACTTAAATACTACAACCTTAAAGCTAATTCACCTAGATGCTATAACGTTAGATCTTCATGTTGATTTTTATGTCAAATGAAGATATGATTTTTTTTAAAATTATATTAACAATGTTTATATTTTTTTAAATATAAATTGTAATTGTATAAATCAAAATGAAATATATAAAAGTTCCTCTCTATTTTATCTTAATTTTAAAAACCTCCCTTCCATAAACTTCCTTTAAAATGAAAAATAAGCCATATCAATCAACACTATCCCTAGAAATCTCGTGGGTCCAAAGCCGATGAATAGGTGCAGCTCCACTCTTGTTTTCACCGTGCAGATGAATTCTTATGGCTAAAATAATTAGTATCGGCTCAAATAAATAATACTCCCTCCAAAAATTATAAAATAATTTTAAATAAAATTATATATCAATAAAGTTTATTAAATACACCTTACAACTTTATTTTTTAAAGAAAAAATTATAAATTTTTAAAAATATTTTTATTTAATACTCCATTATTTGTGAAAGAATATTAAAAAAAAAATATATCGAAAGGATAATATTAAAAAAATATCATCAATAACAACTTATTCTTATTAAAGTTTTTTTATTTTAAGATGTCAAATATTTTAAAAAGTGTCTTATGATTTAAGATGAAAGTAATTAACTTAGCTCTTGTTGAATTCATTTTAGACTTTGTGTCCATTTGGAGTTTAAATTTGCCTACATTTTTCAAATAATATAAGCATATTTTCCTCATATCTTCCAAAATTTTCGAATTTCAATATCGATTACCACTTTTTCGCTCCTTCCAATATTTTCTAGCCCTTTTCATTTGCATATCATTCCAAATTTTCTATCATGTATTTTCACTTTAACTCTATCCATTACATTTGACGTTTTCTGATTTCTCTTTCTTCTTCCATTTTTGTTTCATTCTTTTTCCTCGCCTTCTATTCCTTTTTGTCTGGTTTTTCCTTTCACGCTTCATTTTATGGTGTTGGTTTGTAGCTTGTAGGTTTTCATTGGAGCTCTCAACATTATTTGTCATTGAAGTATGGTAAAAATGGGACATTATTGTCTCTTCAGCAAAATGGTGTTCCTTTCATTTTTCTCATTCTATTTTCTCTCTTCTACTCAATCCAATAGCACTCACTGCCTTCTCTTTTCAAATGTTGAAGACAACGAAAGAGACAACAACAACCACCACCTTATCTCACTAGATAAGATAACTACATAAATTGAACGATATTATCATTAAAGACAAGGGGACAGAAAGCTCAAGAATTTCTTTTTTGCTCTATTCCCAAACTTTATACCTGCTATATTTTTCTCTTATGTCAATCATCATGAACATAATCAAATGAATAAATTGAAACTCATGTATAGAGGTGGAAAAATGGGCAGACCTAACACAGCCCTTAAGGACTCAAGTCCTTGAGCCTAACTTCTCAAAAAACAATCGATTTTTGAAGCCCGGACTTGAGCTCATTTTATATTTTAAAAAAATTTTAAAAATAAAAAATTCAATAAAACAAGTAAGTACAAATCCAAAAATATAATCTTAATGAAGTTTTAAAAAGAAGATAAAAATTTTCAATTCACATCAACCTTATCAAATCTGATAAATACAAAAACTTATATATCATGAAATACAATATTAATCAAAATCAATAAATAATCTTTACAAAGTAATTGTGTTTAAGAAATTAATAAAAAATCTGTCAATATCGTGTTCAAATAAATGACAAAAGAACCAACATCAATTATTTTGACAACACAACACTTGAAAAATCATCGATCTTTTGAGAAACAATACTTAAAAGACTGCCTGAATTAGAGCCCTATTTTTAGGACTTATTAGGGTTGGGTAGAAGCCTACTTTTTCGAAAAATCACCAATTTTTTAAATCCAAATCCTTATTTTCCAACTCTACTCATGTAACGAATCTTATTTAAATAAAGCTTCAAGCCTGCCTGACCCTTATTCCCTAACCCCAACTCTACTCATGTAATGAATCTTGTGATTTTCCATAGATTGGAAAGTGGCTTTGACATGTGTCTATTATATTGGTGTATGGATCGTTCAAGAAAGGAAGGCACCTGAATAATTAATATCAAAATTTGGCTGGCAAAAATCTGCTTAGACTTTCAAAACTAGTAACCACACACACTTAAATTGTCATAGTTATGTAAGTTTTGGTTGACAAGTAATCGGTGAGGAACAGTGGCATTTTTGGCAAGTTGCAAGGCAAGAGCTGTGAAAGTTTAGAGGAGTTCATTAATTCACATAGCATCCTCCATCAATATGTTTCCAAGACATCCATAAGACAGGCGTTTATTCAAAAGCTTATACAAAAGATGGATTCAAACACACACGAGCATCATGAGCATGTACACCGATCCCAGGCGAAAATTTGGCTGCACCATTATTTGACCTCTATAGAAGACCTATCAGTATAATCTCTTCCATAGCTTCCCAGCATGTCAATGTCTCTTCTACACCAGAGCCTTCGCTTGTTCAAGCTTCGCACTGACTGCTTCCCATGACACAAGCTTTTCCATGAACTCTGAAATATAATCCGGCCGCCGGTTCTGTCAACACAAAACAGTCAGGGATACAGTTAACTGTTGGACAAAACTTAAGAGAAAGAAGCAACAGCAAAAATGCTTTGCGGACAACAACTCACCTGAAAGTCTAGATAGTACGCATGCTGTACAGGAATGGAAAAAAAAAAAAAGTCAGCAATTGTAAAATAATGACATTTAAAGATTACAGTAGGCTTTCCCTTGCTGAGTATGAAAAGCTACGTTTTGCCTCCAAAATTAATGTATAACCACAAAGTTGCCAACTCAGTACATGTTCTTCACAATGAAATAAAATACTTTTGAATTTCAGACTAAAATAAAAAATGTTAAAATTCAGTTAATTTTTTGGGAAATGAAAAGGAACTTCTGCAAGTTTAATGGTGAGTGAACTCAAACATGGACATTATTGTAAAAACCACATAGCACCTTGTGGTTTAATGTCAATTGTCACTCGGGTAAAATGTTTTTCATTTTAGTCCAAAGTCAAAGGGATTTCTTTTTTCAGCATTTCAAAGTTCACGTAAATTTTTTTAGTTAAGCTGTAGTCTGGAGGGTGAACTGCCATTTCATTTTTTAAAGAAAGTAAAGTTGAGAAATACCTCCCAAACATCAATGGTAAGAAGCGGCTGCAAAACAATAATGAGAAATCTCATTAGTCATAAAATGCGGATATCATCCAGAATGCTTCTAAGCTACCGTAACATGACATTAAAAAATAAACAAGTCTTATAATTAATCATTATTACTTACATAACCATCCATGACCAGGGGGTTCACAGCATTGGGAGTCTTGACTATCGCTAGCTTGTTGTCATTGTCTGGTACATGAGGATTTAGAGGAATATAAGAAAATTAAAAGTGCTTGATAGGCAACATTTAACAAGTAAAACTAATAATGAATGAAGAAAATAGGAGATGAAATGGTTTAGGTACTCACATACAAGCCAAGCCCAACCAGAACCAAATTGTGTTGCGGCAGCAGCCTTAAACTCATCAACAAACTTTTGAAATGAACCAAAATCCCTTTCAATTAGTTGTAGAAGTTCCCCGGATGGAACCCCACCACCACCTGGTTTCATGCACTCCCAGAAGAAGTCATGGTTCCAGACCTGCATAAAGTAAATTTAGATTACTTAACAATAATTTTAAAAACTTTAGGTTTGTCAGTTGAAAACAAACATACCTGTGCCGCATTGTTGAAAGTTGGAAGAGGGTCGCCCTTGTTGTATGAAATAACTACAATGTCTTCCAGTGACTTCCCTTCTAGATCTGTTCCTTCTATTTGCTTGTTTAAGTTATCTACATACGCTCTATGGTGCTTCCCCCAATGAAACTCAAAAGTCCTCTCGCTCATAATCGGCTCCAAAGCATTCTGAAGGTTTCATTAGAACAAGATGTAGGTTGAAAATCATTCCACCAAAACAAACGTTCCAGAAATTATGTGAGCCCAAACTCTATTAGTTATAGAGAAATATATCTTTATGGAATAAAAATAGAAATACAGAAGCAATCCGCCAGCTTAGCAGAATTGTTTTCACAGAGAAATGAGAGACTAACACGAAAAAGAGAAGACACACTGGCTAATTTGAGATGCAAGTAGGCTCCCCAGTCTATTCTTTCAGATTCATTTTTATTCTTTCTTCTATTTTTTTTTTCTAGCTTTTAATCCAATTTTTACAGTTCATTACTATAATGTAATTATTATGAATCATTAACAATTAGAATCCCAATGCTAAATACATTAGCATTTTTTTTTTGTAAAACTAATTTTCTTTTTTGATTGTGTTGTGAATAATAAAAATTTAACACCATATGATTTCAGATATTTTAATTGCCAAAGAGATTATTTGCTCCCAAAAAGAATGTTGTGTATATTTCTAGTACAAAAGCCAGGCTAAGTCTCTACTCTCTACCTTTGGCAAAAGTAATTAAGTAACTAAAATCACAAGTTCAGATGAAAGTTGTGCAAGTCAAAGAGACAGTTAATAACATAAAGAGCTTACCATTGGATATGGAGGTGGCTTCAGATCAAACTTTGCAGTGATTTTAACAGGTCCTGCTTTCTTTATGCACCTTCTCTACAATGTAAAAAAGACTCTATTAATTGGCTGATACAAAATTATTGTACATATAGCTAAGCATTGGAAAATTGTCATAGCAACTTCCTGCAAGATTCTAGCCAAGCAGAAGCTTTAGTTAATTCAGAGCTGTAATAATCTGGCCACCCATTTAAAAGAATTATAATGCTTATTTTTTTCCAAACTCATTGAATTTATATCAAGTAATATTCTAGTTGACTGATCATTGAAAAATGAATGACCAAATAAGATGAAAGAAGCTAAAAGCAACTCAAACCTACAAACTCATTTAACTTGATCAATTAGTCAGGTAGTTTGGTAAAATCTTATTACAACAGAACTTATGCTTAGAGTATCTTTTCGCTTAAGGCTTCATGGCTAAATTTGTTATATACAAGGTTAGAAGAGATGCATTAAGAAAATAAGGTCAGTACATGTGTTGTTCAGCACCATATTGTGACTTTGTGAGCTCATAGTCAATTGACAAGCATGAAGCAGATTATTATATAGGCACTACCTATGAAAGGAGCAAATCGTGTAAAAGGATTTACAATAATCATGGTTTCAACTTCATGATCATGCCTTCGCTCCACAGCTATAACTAAATTCGTCTTTCTTTTTTTTTCCTTGGCCAGTAAGAATTTTAAAGGCAAACATATTACTATATAGTAACAATCTAATTAGGATCAACACATGTTGTCAACAGAAGTGAAGTAAAAGTTACTAGCCAGCAGCCAGAAAAGTTCAAGGATATAATACAAAGGAAATAAACTATTTATCACTTCACGAAGACAACGAAAGGAATCCAAACCATAAATCGGTTTACATATAGCCACGACAGTTTTACAATTCTCATCCTCAGTAACCAAACGGTTCAAGTATAATGTAAACAGAAAGACGCTAAAAATAAGACAATCAAAGCAAACCTCTCTGCCAGCAAATTCCGGAGTTCCGAACAACCCTGTCAACCCAAAAACCTGAATCAATAACAAAGAAATATTACAGAACAGAGACGCAGGCAGAGTAATAGACACTGCAAAACCTTTGCGAGGAAGAAAGGCGCATTGTAGGGGAGAAGAAGTAGCAGACGCAGCTAGAAACTCCATTTCTGAGACCGAAAAAGGATTAACGGATGGTTCAAAATCACGCGCTTCTTCAGATTTCAGTTCTGCAGATGCTTGCTGACCTTGCTCTGAAGATATATGCCTCCCCCTCAAAAAGCGTCGAAGCCCTCGGCCAGGGTTTGTGAGCTAAATGACATTCAAGGACCTAACCATATAATCCATATAAAAATAACGATTAAATTTTAAAATATAAAGTACCAACGAACGGCCCAAGATCATTTCAGGTCGTTCTTCAATAGACAAAATTATCCTCATCATTTGCCACAAATTTCTCTTCATTTTGATGAATTCCACCTCCTTCCCTTTACAGGGACCAAATCGCCAACATTATCAGAGATTTGTCGAATAAGGGAGAGAACTAGGAAGTTGTAGCTGGAATGGAGGGAATAGTGGCTTAGCTGGATGATTTTCTTGGTAATATTGATGGTGAAATTATTCTAAAATGAAAAGAATCTCCAAACTTCATACATTCATAGGGAGCCTCGCACTCTTTTGAAAGAGGAAAATTGTGAGTTCTATTCTCCATGTGATTAAGGGATAGATATGTGTGAGTGTGGTGAATAGATGTGTCACTCTTTCTTTTTGAATAAGGGTCACTTGTTGTTGCAAAAAATGGATAAATATGTAAGTGTGTGAGGAGATTGTGTTTGTATTCGATTCATTTCAAAAAATAAAAGAGCCATGTCAACGTCAACAAAACATATGAACTTTGCAATGCCAACCTGTATCATGAGTATTTTTAAAAAGATTACTTTCTTCTTCTTGCAAGATTGTTTTATGATAGATAAATGTGTGGTTTGTGATTAGTGTCAAATTAATATATAACTAATGTATGATTGGATCATCTACAAGACTATACTTCTTTGATAATCAAGCACAATATTTATTGTTTTAATTGATTTAAGAAAGGCCTTAAGCATCATTGGGAGACTATTGTGTTTTTCAATAACTAATCAAATCATCATTGAGGAAGGGATTTGTGATGGACATATGACTTGGATTAATGAATGTGGTGAGACACATTAAAGGAAAGTGAAAGGAGGAAGGAAAATTGGCTTGGGGGGCAATTTTGTCTATTCAATAGATTCCTAGAAATTCTTGGGTTCTCAGGTAAACTTTTACATAAATATCGTGTTTTTACATTATTTTAATATCAAGGTCCTCATATGTCATTTTAACTGCTTTTTAGCTCCCCCGTTGAAGTACACCTGTAGTCCTGTACTACGAGAACTCGAGTAGGACATCATGATACATGCAACCAAAATAAATAAATAAATAAGGGGAAAAAATAAAAAAAAAGGAAGTAAACGGCCATTATTAATGGAAAGTTACATGTGGATATCTTCTTGTTTTTTTTTTTTTTTTTACATCAAAGAGGCAAGTTATAAACAACTTGACTATGATTATGATAATGAATCTTAATTTCTTCCCAAAAAAGACATGATTATGATCAAGAACGAAAATTATTAAATATAAAAAATTCTTTGTTTAAAATATTGTTGGATTTCAGAAGTAAACAAATAATATTTTCCAGTGAAATCTATTCATAGTTCAAATTCTTATCACCGCTAAAAAAATTTGCTCCATATAAAAGTTGACATTTGTGGATGTGAATTGTGAAGGACAAGTAAATTTGTTTAAACTAATGTCAGATTTCAGAAATAAAAAAAAATATTGTTCTATGTAATAAAGATAAAACATATGTGGATATCAAATCAAGGACAATTATTTTTATTACGACTAAGTTTTAATTATGGGTAAGATAATTGCAAAGTGGGGCTTGCCCCTGTGGCCAACACACGACCAGATTCCACGTGTGGGGCTAGTCCCATCACCGGATAAGGAAAGCCACGTAATATGAATCGTCCAAAAATCGACGGATAAAAATGCTGCAGCCTTTTATAATTTTTTAAAAAATAATAATAAAATTTCTTTAAAATATATAAATGATAATTTAATTCCTTAAAATGTTATAATTTTACTGAAAGTCTCTAAAAATTTTTTATTATTAATAAATTTATATAAATGATCAAATTGCTCTTGTTAAAAAAATAATTAATAAGTTTTATTTAAAAATTATAATTTTTTTCTTATATTTGTAATAATGCAATAGAAAATTATAAATTTAACATGAAAAATTATAATTTATTATTACATTATTGTGAATATAAGAAGAAAAGTTACAATTGTTTAAATAAAACTTGTGAATTATTTTATTTTCAACAAGAGCAATTTGATCATTTATATAAATTCATTAATGACAAAAAAAATTTTAGGGACTTCAATAAAAGTATGATATTTTGAAAGATTAACTTGTCATTTATATAATTTAAAGAGATTTTATTATTATTTTTTTAAAAAAATTAATTTGTCAAAGTAATCCTTCCTACCAATGTTATTAAACTTGCAAATTTAAGTAAATTTATGATAGGAAATATAAACTTATATCGTAAACTTGGATCATAAACTCGTAAAAGTTTATCTCTATTAATAAATACATATTAAAATATGATTGTAATTTAATTTAAATATATTAAAAATATAAATCACTAAAATTAAACCCATCTACATTGATAAACTATCATATACAAAACATAAAAATTTTAAAATAGGAGAACTTATTTTTAGTATTTTTCTTCTTTTTTATTAATATTAGTTTTTACATTTTAACTTTTTTTCGTTGAACCAAGTCTTATAACTTTTATCAATTAAATTTTTCATAGCATATACTTAACTCACTCAATTCAAAAAAAAAAATGATGAGCTTAACAAGTGTTTACCAAACTTGCATCTAGTTCGAGTTTATGAATTAGTAAACACAATTTTATAAATTAGAAACGTAAAAACAATAAACTCGGAGGTAAACTCGCGAGTTTAATTGAGTTTATATCTAGTCCAAATTTATGAGTGAATTGCACAATTTTATAAATTGAAAATGTAAAAACATTAAACTCAAAAAGTTAATTCGAGAGTTTAACAACTATGCTTCCCACCAAGTCTAGTTTTCGTCTTCATTAATCTAAAATATATAAATTAAATTTGTGGAACAATATGGAAAAGCTTGAAGCCAAGAATATAATGAAGAAAAAGTAAAGGTATTCAAAAACGAGCCATGAGCCCAACCTTATGGACTAAGTTAATAGTCATGATATTAAAATTTAACTCAAGTTTATTTAAAAAAATTCACATTTAATGCTAATCAGATCACTAAAACAGTGAATCAATCCCCCAATTAGTCTAGTCAAAAAATTTGGATGGGTCAATCAAGTTGGATTTTATTTTTTTCCCCTCCCTTTGTTGATAATAATTATGATAATAATATTCAGCTCAAGTTGTAGTTAGACCAATAAATTGGTGAATTAATCCCTTGACCAGTCTAGTTTTGAATAGGTTATTCAAATTTTATTCTATTTTTTTTTCTCCCATTGTTGAGTTGGAAATGTCATCATTAAAAGTTTAAAAAAACAAAGAAAAAAATCCATCATATTTGTGCTTTAGCAACTATGTTTTGTTGGATTATTTGTGTGGTTTATACATGAATATTTAATTTACTTCTAGATTAATTTTTTTATTTAAACATTACCTTTTAAGGGTTAAATATAAATGTTTTTGTATATTTTAATTAAATTAAATTATATTAATTATGGCTAGGTTAATCTCAGTCCAGCCACTACTAGCCCTTAAAATCATTACTTCAACCAATTCAATAATTAATCCAAATTTGAATTGACAAGAGCTCATGCTCCTAAATCTTTGTTTTTTTAAATTAAAACCAATAACCAAAATTAACCCAATCCTTAATTAAAAAATATGAGATAAATGAAGACGCTCTTTGAAGCCTAATTTCCTGACTTAATCATTTAATAACATGATGCGAAAGAATAAATCCCTTTGAGATAGTATCATTTTGCATGAAACTGGTCAAAAAAAGTATTGTTTTGCATAAAAAATAGATTAACATTATATACTTGTTTTTTATTGCTTTGCATGAGTTTTGTCCGATAATGACATAAATACTCTCTCGATTCAAAACATAAACATTTTCTTTCAATTAATTTTAATTTAAGATATAAGTAACTTAATATTTGGACGAAAGATTTTTCTCATATTTTATCTATTATATTTATTAACCTAAATTTTTTTATTTATGAATTTATGATATTCTTTTACTCATCATAAATTGAAATTAAAAATAAAAATAAAAATATATATTTTTATGAAAATAAAAATTTTATTAGTATGTATATTATTATTAAAAAATATTTATATTTTAGATCAGAAGAATTATTGAGACAAGTGAAACATATATTAAGTGTTCACTAAAGCAAAGATCATACAAGAAGCAGAGACTCAAACACACCAAAGCATCATGATAATTTGCTCCGATCGTCGGAGAAATTAAGGCAGCTCCAAGATTAATTTGACCAACTGACCTCAACAACACACATATCTGATCTGGTCTAAAGGACACACAGATCAATACAATTTATTGCTCACACAGTTACTACTTATTTTGCTCAAAGAAGAACAAAGACTATACCACATCAAGCATCTTTCTCAGCAACATTGCTTGATCTCTTGGCTTTTTCAAGCTTTGAGCTCACTGCATCCCATGACACTAGCTGATCCATGAACACTGATATATAATCCGGCCGCCGGTTCTGTCGGAACGACGAAACAGCCATGGATATGGTTACATATGTTTGACAAAATTTTAGAGATAGTGACAACAACATAATGTTTTACATACTTAAAAGAAAAACAAAAACAAAAGCCTTATTACCTGATAGTCTAGATAGTAAGCATGCTGCAGAAATGAAAAACCATACCAATAAAGTCAGCAATTGTACAATATAATGACTTTGTAAAACCACATTTAATTATTTTAACCTCCTAAAATGTAATAAAATAATGCCTTTCAATTTTGGACTTGGATGAAAAAGCTAGATCTTTTTTTTTTTTGGGAATAGAAAAGGAGGTTTTGTAGGTTTAATGTAGAGTGTGAAGTCAAACATGTACATTATAGTCAAAATTACATGGCTTCTTAATGTTAAATGTTAATTCTAACTTAGGTTTAAGGCTCCCCCCCCCCCCCAATTCCTCTCATTTTGGTCCAAAGTTGAAGGATAGCTTCATGAGAGTATGGCAATTAAACGTCCCAGAAAAAGTACAAAAGGTGATGCCATATAAAGACTCTTGAAAATTTTCAATGCCGAAACATGGATAAGAGCCCATAACCCACAAGTTCCAGTTTCCCACCCTATTTCTACTGTCAAACCCTCTCTAAATGATCTTACTAACGCCATATTCTTTTTCACTGCTCATGAAACACGTCATTTCACATATCCAACTCATTACCAAAAGTAAGCTCATCTGCATCCACCAACCAAATTTTCAAACCACTATTATCATTGTGTCTTGCCTCCAAACGCTGCCTATTTATCAAAGATCATTACTATACACTACTACATGTGCCATTACATGCTGACAGTAGAATCTCCTATTTATGTGGCTTCCCCAGAGCCGTCATTAATTTTACTCCCCAAAGGAGAATTCCTTCAAACCGAGGAGAAATGATGAGATACAGAATTAATTAGATTTAACATTTTTATTTTATTAGAATGATTTTCGGATTTGATTTGAATAAATATAATTTTTTAAATTACTAAGTTATCTTTTAAATTATTTTAAAATATTTGTATTTAATTATTAGGATTTATAGAATATTATGCTTTTAATACTTTTATTTCAAAAATTAGGCTTTGTACGTTTTTTGGAATGAATAAGAATTGATATTGATTTATTTTCCTATGAGCTTCTCCTCTTCTTCTGCGTCTACCTTCCTTCTATCTCTACGTTCTTTTTCTATTCATTTCTCTTCTCTCTTTTCCCTCTCCCATCCTGCATATCATTAAGCGATGATAAGATTTTAATTCGGCATTAATTATTTTATGGGGTTCTTTGTTGCCATTCTCCCTAGTTTTTTTTTTTTAATTATATTACCTTCTAAGATTCATATACAATTTTTTTATAAGTAAGCTATAGATTTGGAGGGTAAAATGCTATTTTCCCTTAAAATAAAGTAAAGATGAGAAATATACCTCCCAAACATCAATGGTAAGGAGTGGCTGCATGACAATAATAAAAGATCTTATTAGCCATAAAATGCAATTATAACCTCCAGTAATGATTCTAATAAATTATGCTAATTAACATGACATTAATTAAAAATAAATAATCATTATAATTAGTCCTTATTGTTACTTACAACACAGTCCCAGACAAGGGGGTTCACAGCATTGGGACTCTGAGCTATTTTCAGCTTTTCGTTCTCATCTGATAGAATTAGAAGAGGATGATTTAGCAATACAAGTGCTTGATATGTTAGATTTAAGAAGTAAAACTATAAATGAATGAACAAAAATAAACATGAAATGACACAATATGCACCAAATAAAGATATTTGTTCAGAATGGGATATGACCAGAAACAGGGATGAGAACAAATGGTTAACTCAAAATTTGAAGACTCCAGTACATGGATACTTCCATTGTATTATATATTACTCTTTTTATCCCATTTTATAGAACATTTTTTTATGTGATTTGATATCTCAAAATATAAAACATTTAAAAAAATAATGTTTCATTAATGATGATTATTCCAATATTACCCCCATTGTTTTACTCATTAAATAAATTACCTTCCCTCTCTTTTAATAATAAAGGGTATTTTTTGGGGTTTATAGAAAAATTAATATTGTAAACTATATTTAATAAAGTTCATAAGTATGTATAATTTTGGGGGAAAAAAACCTTATAAATTAAGATGGAGGGAATATTTATTAAGTTCAATTTTATCTAACATGAAACTTTTCAATCAGACAAAGCCTGCTTAAATTTGAACATTTTAAAGCACAATATGAGAGAGTTACAACAAAATACAATTGTGCATGGGACCAACATTAATTGTGAACATAAAAGATTCGGGTGTACATAATAAAAACTCACATATAAGCCAAGCCCAACCAGAACCGAATTGGGTTGCAGCAGCTTTCTTAAACTCATCTGCAAATTTTTGGAATGAGCCAAAATCTCTTTCAATCATATGGTAAAGATCCCCACATGGGACTCCACCACCACCTGGTTTCATGCACTCCCAGAAGAAGTCATGGTTCCAGACCTGCATTAAAGATCAAAATTTGGATTACCAAGCAACAAATCAAAGAGTACTGTACAAGAATTTTGCAGGCTTGTTACGATTATTTAAATCCTATAATTTATAAGTCACTTTTAATATAGTTTATCAGAATTAAGAAAAAAAATTAAAACTACTAACTCTCTAAAATTTTAACAAATTTTAAACTTTGTCTATTTTAAATTAAAAAAATAAAATAATCGATCCCTATAATTTTATTACATTTTTTAGTCTCTATAATTTTTTTTAGTGTTTTCAACCCCTATGGTTTCAATAAAATTGGGTAACATTTATTATTTATATCCCTACAGTTTCAGTATTTTTTTACTTGAAAAAAATTACAAGGAATAAAAGTAAAATTCAATAAAATTTCAAAGAGCTTTCCTTTTAAATATGCATACTTTTTATAAGGTACTTTTTCTCATCATTATTTAATGGAGGTGAAAGCAAAAATTGTGATAAAAAAATCAATGACATACTCCCTTGAGTTGAATAGATTTTTCTATGCCATATAAATAGGACAAAAGGGAGTATATATTCTTTCTGTCCCAATTTATAAAATATTTTTGATAAAAATTCACATACAAAGAAAGTGCATTAAATAGAATTTATGGTCTTAATTTTTTATGAACTTCTAAAAACATCCTTCATGAAAAAAATAAAGAAAAATTATTTAAGAAGTGAAATAATGAAGGGTAATATTAGAATAATCATCATTAATAAAATCTTATTGTTATTGAAGTAATTATATTTTACAATATCAAATTAGCTCAAAAAATGTCTTATAAATCGAAATGGTGGGAGTATTATATACCTGTGCAGCATTGTTGAAAGTTGGAAGAGTGTCTCCATTATTGTATGAAACAACTATAACATCTTCCAGTGACTTGCCTCCAAGATCTGTTCCTTCTATTTGCTTATTTAAATTATCTACATATGCCCTATGGTGCTTCCCCCAATGAAACTCTAATGTCCTCTCGCTCATAACTGGCTCCAAAGCATTCTGAAGATTTTCATTAGGATTAAAAAAAATATAGGTTAAATCTCTATCCACTAAAAGTTCTAAATATATCATCAATATCAATGTCAATGTATCATTTAAAACTTGTACTGATAAGTTATAAATAGTGCAACTCATCTTAAATTGGATAGGAAAATATTAAATATGTATAATTATATGTGAGCCCAAACTCTATTAGCAGTAGTGGAATCGATCTTTATGAAAATACAAATGGGTAAAGCAGAAGCAATCAATACAGAAAACAGAGAACACATGGCTATTCAAATTCATTTAGTTGTGGTTTGCATTGGATTTGAATTTTTGATTTAAAGTTTTATATTTAAAATTTAAGTATTTAAAAATGTTTTGTTTGGTTAGTGTAAAAAATTCATACCTATAAGAATGAGTTGTCCTGCTTTTATTAGTTGTCTATGTAGAACGGTGGAGATTTGAAACAACTAGAAAAATATTTCAAATTCTAAAGAAAAATCTTGTTTTAGACTTAGAGCGAATTTAAACCCATAAATTTATATATTTATTGACCGATTTGATCCAAATCCAACTATCTAAATACTACCTTATATTCTTTCTTTCAATTATATTTCTCTAACTTCTTCAATGATCTTTACAGTTTATTACTTCTTCTTTTTGCTTTAATACCGAAAGGATAGTATCATCATTAGAATGAAACAGAAAAACAAACACCAAGATAAACCAGCAAGAACCTAAAAATGAAAAACCAAACAGAATATAACACAAAATCCAAAAACCCCTGATTGAAGATTGATGATGATGATGATGATGATGATGAAAGAAGAGCAGCTAGAGGGATATTTCAGAGCTTAATTACCAGTGGATATGGAGGAGGCTTAAGCTCAAACTTGAGAGGGATTTTAGCTGCAGAATCCATTTTCTGAGACTCAGATGGTGAAGGAGAGTGCTTTTTCTGGCTCTATCAGATCAGTGCCTCACAAACAAAGCCTCTCTCTCTCTCTCTCTCTAAGAATTGGAAGATGACATGCATTACGACACCATGTCACCATTTCAAGGACACCAAGTTTCAGAAATTAATTAGGGAAAATTGTTAAGAAGGGCCATGAGGTAGATATATTGAGAAAAAAGGACCAAGTTCCTTCAAGGGTATTAAGATTAAGTAAATTAAAGTTATAATGTTAATTCACTTGAAGGACCTTTAATTATTATAAAGAAAAACTGAAAACTAAAATGCTTTAAGAACTCTATTTTATTAATTTCTTTTAGTATTCACTTTTAATATTTTTAATATTTATTTTTTCAGTACTCATTTTTATTTTTTAACACTAAAAAATTAAATTTAAATATTATTTAATATTTTTTTTAAAAGACGAATATTGTGAATGCAGGGGAATTAGTATAGTAGTACACCAGCGCTGCAGCATTGTAGTACTACAAGCTGATAATAATAATAATTTTAAAAAAAAAGTTTGGTGGGCCTAGACCTCAATCAACCCGCAATAATTTTATGCTATTATACTAGGAATTTGTTATGAATATTATATTCTTAATAAACCAAAAAAAAAATTTAATGAAAAAATAAAATGAAATTCAGACCGAATTTTGCTAATGAATTTACTCGGGGAAAAATAGGTGAAGCGTCCCACAGTAATGATACGTACATCAGTCCAATTTTTTTAAAACGGTCTAAATTATTCATATTTAATGAATTTTCTCAAAAAATACAAAATAATTAAACATGTCTTATTAATTGCATCAAAGTAATTTGATACACAAATACCATGAAATATTAATATTTATGCGGTGGTGGATTCACATTGTGGTGAGGTTTAGAAAAATTATAAGTAGGGTATGCAAATTTTGCATTCACTACTTTTAATATTATGCACTCTCTAAATTAAAAATATATTTGAAATTAAAAGTTTATTAAATATGTAATATTTTAATTATTGTGATAAGATATGAATAAGAAATTCATATAAAAGACCATATTAATATGTTTAATATAATTTTTAATAAAAATGATAACCAATCTATGTTATTACAATTTTAATTCTAACATAATTATTATTTTTAATTATTTAAAATATTATTAATTTTTAAATTAAATTATCTTGCACCTCATCCTATTTAAATAGGTGTTTCAAAGAAAAAATTGACATGAAGTTGAATATCTCGGAATATTTTTTTCCTCAGGCAAGGACTAACTGGGAACCACTTATTCCATTTTCATTTTTTTAAGTAAATTAGCTCGAAGGTGATGAAAAATATATTAATAAAAAATTATGAAAGAAGTTCATTAAAATTCTAGAATATGCCTTATTTATAATCAATTGGGGTGCGATTTTTGTTTTATCCCCTAAAACAAATAAAAAAAACTTGTGTAATAAAATAATCGAAACTATCATAATTAAATGATTATAATCATGGTTCATTTATAATTATATATTACTTTAATATTTGAGCACTTTTAAATATTTTATCATCAATTTAATAGATATAATATATTTTAAATTTAAGAATAAGAATGGAATTTTAGATTTGAGAAAAATAAATTTTTTATCATTTAAATTTAAATAAATATTAATTAAGTCATATTATAAAATATTTAAAATATTAGGTTGTTATTTTTATTTAATTCTATTAAATGGGTGCAAAAAAGTTCTTTTAAGTTGACCATTTCATATTTTCATAACTCTTGGTGTTGTCCTATGTAAGCTTTGCGTTGAAGTACACTTGTACTACAAAGGTACTTTTAGGTTGACGATGATTAAATGAAAATAAGAGTCACAATAAAATAATGACCAGTAAAATAATGTACAAATTTAAAAAATAAATAAGATTTAAGAAAAAAATTAATATGCCTTCTCCACACACATTTAAAATAATAATCCCTCTTTCAAAAAAATAAAGAAATTTTTTAAATGAGGTGTTTAAAAATAAAAAACATTTTGAACATTTCAATATGCAATTAATGAGATTTTTTAAAAAATATTCTTAGTTAATGGGTGTAAATTTACTGGATGTAATTAATATATTTTTTTAATTAAGACATCTCATTATATACAGAAAATGATAGAGAAGTTTTAAAAGTATTTAATTTAAGTTAGGTTTTAAGTATTAAATTTTAAAAATTTACAATTCATTTTCTTAATTTTACAATTTCATTGTGATAAATTTCTAACTTATTTTTTAAATTTTAATGGAAAAATACTTTTGTATTATTTAATTATATTAAAATTTAAAAAATAAATTATAAATTCATCACAATGTAATTACAAAATTAAAAAATTTAGTTATAAATTTTTAAAATTTAACATTTAAGATCTAATTTAAATTAATTTATTTCTATCATTCTCCTTATTAAATATATAGAAAGAGTGTCTAATTTTAAAAAGATTTAATTCATCCATTGTTCGTTTAATTCGAACCAAGTCGTGTTTCGTGGTCAAACATGTTTCTTCTGTCACAAAATCATTAAATCGACAATAAATTTATTAGATTTGTTGAAAACATGAACCTCATAGTTAGATCTACGGAGGCAAGGAAAAAGGAAGGAAGGAAGAACTCAAGAATAGATGAGCAGGAGTACAAAGACGGACAATTCGATTTGAGTGTACAGTGATTGGAAGATTATTGGCAACAGGACAATTAAGTCCCAAAAAATTAATTTTATATCAATTAAGTCCCAAGTAATTGTAAAAGGCCAATAAAATCTCATACTATTTTTCACAAATCAGAGTTATGATAGAAATGATGAACATGCCCCTATGATTAAATATAACATGTACACTCATCAGTTCCAACATTTTTCTCTCTATGTGTCTCTTTCCCGTCATTAATGAGAGCTGCATGTAAGTGGTGGAGCTGTACGTTGAAAAATACCCATTTCTAAAACAGAGTTACTCTTGAAAGAGGTGGAGTTGCCTTAATTATTGATTCAAGGAAGCTCTTATTCTTTGCTGAGTTTGTTTGGCTGGTGCGTTTAGACAGGTGTTTTTTTTTTTTTTGGCAAATCCCTACATCTGAACAAAAAAGTTGACTCCATTAAGGTTTGATTTCTTACAAAATGACTCTCGTAAGGAAAAAGATGGAACGCTTTTTTGCAACTAAACATGAAAGATTTTTTTTATTTCATGTTTCTAAAGATTTGGCATGAAAATTTGACATTTTGCAACTAAAAGTGTAAAAATTTTTCATCGAGTGTCTATATTTTAAGATGGAACGTTGTCACTGTCTCACTGATGCAAAAATCACTTATGTCAAAAGTAACTTATTTCTAAGTGATATATTATTGCATTTTATTTTGTTTATTATAGGTTGATATTATTGGGTACGACGAAAAATAGTTGTCTAAAGAAAATTTTTTGTTATTTTCATTTTGGTGGAGATATTTAAAAGATATATATAGAACAATGCATTATGATAGGGGGAGTTATAATGGAAGAATGATCAGAGAAGGAATGTCTCTTGAAGGACTTGTTAGATTTATTTTATTATGCTTGAGTTGTGATTTAAATGGAATAGAGTTAAAGTACACAGTAAAGTTTGATTGTATTGCTCTTTCAGACCTTAAAGATGATGAAGGGATACACCAATTAATGAAATTGAATGATAATTTTGCTCATGTGTACATTATTAGGAAGATACGGCAAAGTATAGAGACAACAAGAGATTCAATTAATGGGTAAGTTTTTTAATAGTTGCATAATTAACATTATGCTAATATGAATATGAATGGTAGTAATAAACATGATTTGAATGGAAATACAAAGCAGGATGTTCAATTGAAAATTCACATGCTATATAAGATCTTGAAGTTCTACTATGTGCAATATAAAGTATCATAACACCAATGCTTGAGCTAAATGCAACAAATTAGAAGGATTTACTAGTAGGACCTGGGTAGATTTTTGAGAGTGCTGATGATTATAGACAACCAATCTACAAGTATAGTATTGCACATAGGTTTGAATATAAATTTGTGAAAAATAACACAAATAAAATAATTACAGTTTACAAGGCAAAAGGATGTTAATAGAAGGTAACAGCATATTCATTAAGGAAGTTAATGCCCTTGCTTTGTGTAACAACTTTCAAGAATGAGCACTTAAATTCTGCCTAAGAAAACCTTGAAGTTTCCTATAGTATAAGGTGCACATTGACTTCATCTATAATTGATGATGTAGTAAGGTCTAATGTGAAAAAAAGACCCAATGAAATCAAAGCTAACACTTAAAAAGACTATGGCATAAATCTAACTTATCATCAAGCTTTAAGAGCAAAAGAGGGCATTGGTGGAAATAAATGGGCTTCCTGACCAATCATATATGCTTGTTTCTTAGTTGTGTAATAGATTAATGGCGATTGATGCTGACACTGTAGCAAAATGGGTGGGTTCTGAGAACAATAAATTTGAATGATTATTTATTACATATGGTTGTTCCATCAAAGGATTCTTGCTTGGGCCTAGGCCTATTTTATATATGGATGGATGTTTCCTCAGTGGTCCTTATGGGGGCACCTTACTGGTAGCTTCAACATACGATGCTAATAATGAGTTGTTTTCATTAGCTTTTGCAATAGTTGGTAATAAAACTCATGATGATTGGACCTGGTTTTTGCAAAATATTAAAGATATCATTGGTTCACTACAGGTAACTATTGTTTCTGATAGAAATAATGCTATTATTAGTGTTGTTAGAGCCATATTTAGTGGCGATAGACATGCATTTTGTTATCGACATGTCAAGGAGAATTTTAGCTCTAAGTTTAATAAAGTTTGTAGGGGAATGGGAAGGAATAGCAAGAAAGAGGAACTAAAGTTGCTTGATCACATTGCCTATACAAGGTATGACCACAAATTTCATATAGCCATAAGAAATTTAAGGATGTTCTCTCCACAATTAGCAAAATGGGTTGAAAATCAAGGCAATATTAATCAGTGGGCACTATCATTGTTCCCATTTTGAAGATGGGATAAGATAACAACCAACTTGGCCGAATCATTCAATGCATGGATTCTTGAGAAGAG